TTATCTCAAAATTATAACGACACTTGAACAAATGCATCTATGCTCTATTTTCTATTAAGATATAGTATACAATTTTTGCGAATCATGTCCGCAAATATGAATCAGCCGAGCCATATGCGATGCTACTTATGTATATAGTGAAATCAAACATTTTTCAAGTAGAATCTACGGCCTATGGGTGCAGTAACATAAGGCGGGGATTAGCACATGGTATGAGAAAATTCATTACTGTAGGCTTATTATTCAATATTTAAATAGCTGAGATGATTTGGATAATTGAAAGAGTTTTAATTTGGTATGAAAATTATTAAAAAAATTAATTATTGTATAAATATAGCGCAATACGAATTTTGGTATGTACTGTGTAAATATCTTGAATAGTTGTTGGTAAGGGATTTATAATGTAATAGCCATTCATTTTTTGCACGTAGGGGAGACTGTGTTGTGCCACTTCTTTTAATAAGCAATTTAATAATAATTTATCAATTATCTGAGAAAAAATAAATAAAATAGTTTGAGCATTTGTCTACATGGAAATACTGACTTATTATCCTTAATTTAATACGATGGAGCCATAAATAATAGCCTCGACTACCTGTATATAGGAAACATCTACATCAAATCTGTAATATGTCCACATCCTCAAGGGCGGTTGTGACAGACATAAAAAGGGGTTGAAAAGCAATAAGTATAAATACCAAAAAAATTTATTGGTAAAAACGTCTTTATGGCAAGATAATCATTTAAGCAAAGCTTATGAATTAATTAATTAATATCACAATATTAAAACAAAACAATTTTTTTTAAAAAATAGGTTTATAATAAATCTTTGTAAATTTTTTTTTTCTTATATTGAATTTTTCTTTTCCTTTCTCTTTCTTATTTTGTCTTACAATTAGTTAAGTTTTTTTATCTGTTTAATCTTCACCCGAAACATGTCACAACCGCACCCACAAAATTTGTCACAACTGTATCCAACGAACACTTTTGAAAACAAATCATTATTATGGCTGAGGTAAATTATCTACGAAAAAAAGTAATTGCAAGTAATTAACTACTAGTGATCAACTTACGGCAAAATAACAATCAAAGTGATTAATCTATATTCTAGTTACAGTTATTATTAAAAGAAATCTAACGTAAAAACTTACTTTTGAGTCTGTAAAAGCAATGCGGTCTGCAGATCATGTTACCGTAAGGCACTGACTAAAAGCAATAATGTGAACTTGTTCGATCGAACATACTTCATCTTTTTTCCTTTGGACTCTATCTCAAAATCAGTATAGTTTAGCTGTTATGGCAACTATCACTATCGTACCCTGGCACAACCGTACCCAATCTTCCCTATTTACAATTATGTTTCAAATGGTCAAAAAAATAATTTTAAACAAATATTAATAAGAAAGATGTATGAAAATAAAGTTTTACCAGTTCGACTCTTTTGAGTAGATAGAACTATAAATGTAATTTAATAAATATCTAGAATTTACAAAATAATTAGCAAATAGTATGATACTATATAGTAAAACTAATGTTTACAAATTTTACATATACGATTAAATTATGTAGCATAACAATAATCAAAGCCAACAATTAGATAAAATACAGAAAACTTACCAAGCAAATTATTGAAAAAAAAACACGAAATTCCTCACAATAAGCAAATGACTTGTTTAACGATCATATATTTATGAAAAATCATTTATACATTTAATTTGAAAAATTAAAATAAAATTAAATATAATCAACGTTGAGCTGTGGAAACATAACTGAAGCTAAATTAACTAGATTAATATTTATTTTATATTGCTTCGAATATTTCGATCACTTATCCAGTTACATATTTTGTTTTAAAATTTGTTAATATTCTGTACATTGATAAATTTAACTTACTATTAATAATAACGCTAGAAATAGTTCTGTGCATTTCAATATCATTACTGGAAACAAAAATTTGTTGGAATTCTATTGAAAAAACGCTTTTCTTCTATTATTAATATTATTACAAAAAAATTTAAAAAAATATCATCTTGTTATCATTACACAAACTTAAAAGTTAAAAATAAAATAAAGAATTCATAAAATACTAAATCACCACAAGATTAGATCAATTAATAATTATAATGTTGCAAACAAACTTGTTATTCTACTAAAAATATATCTAATTTGAAGTACCTAACTAAATATTCCATTTAGTTTTCAAGACCTGCTTTACGAAATACTATTAATAAAATAAATATATTCGAAACAGATTATACAATTTATCGTTATATAAACCATGGAGAATTTTTATCATCGGACGATAGATAAGAAAAAGTGCAAATATTAGTGTGATTTCCAAAAATTTGTATACGTTCTGTAAATCAAAGATAAATTCACTGAATCAAAGATAATCTTTTTGATAAAATATTTTAATAACATTCAAGAAAATGTTGAAAATATTTAACTAACGTATACCATTAGAGAAGATATTTATATTTTACATCAGAGGTTCTACCTGATATTAATTGTTCATTCACCTGGTGGCACGTTATATTTAATTTACATAGTCTCAGATAAAAAAATAGATATATTTTTGTGCAATTCAATATTTTTGCTGGTTATGAAAATTTGTTGGGATTTTATTGGAAAAACGTTGCCTTTCTTCTGCATATTATTATATTATTATTACAGAAATTTAAAAATGCTGATGGTCTGCGCTATGGTAAATGATAGAATGTGTGGAATTCATCAATAGGTTGACGTTAAAAAAAACAATCACATGAAAAAAATAAATTAAATTTTCAAATAAAATATTCAAAGGTATCTAATCCACGGAATTTTTCACTAAGTTTTTGTGGTTTTATTTTCAAATGAAATATTCAAAGGTATCTATCTACGGATTTTTTCACTAAGATTTTGTGGTTATTAAACTTGTACTCAAAATAATTTAAAATCCTTTATAACACGTGGCAAGATATGAATTTTGCGCTAGTATATTCACACATATATAAATCAAGTTATAGCCATTTAAATATTGCTTTTGATCGATAAATTAACTATTGTAATTATACAAATGCACGGATCAGCCTTTTCTTCATCTAGCATGAGTAAAATTCACCAAAAAGTACTAGATAATTAGTTTAATAATACCATACCATTGTAATTCAATTGAATACCGATACCAAGAAGCCTCTTGTAGAACTTTTCCATAGAACCTAGTAATTTTCATTAAAGTCCTTATATCAGCAGGTAGCACAGTGATCGCATCAATAATCTTACAAAAAACTTTTAGTAACTAATACATTCAAATATTTTCATATTTATTCACAAATTTTATAATTCTGGAGTTAGTGCCGAAATGGAACCATTGTGAAATTGCAATTGCAACTTCTTGAACATTTCGCGAAGCACGTGTTTCCAATCGTACGATATATATTTAAACTGCATCTTACCAGAACTTCTTCACATTTTTAACACATTATGATCATTTTTAACTGCTATGAATTGATCAAGAAGTAGTCAGTTAAAGTAACAACAGCAAAATGAGCTGAGACATTTGAAGTACTATACTATATGGATTACGCAATACATTTAAGTTGCTTCTGATGTCGTGTTTTGATAAAACTATACTAAAATGCTTATTATTATAAATATATTCTATGAATAAAATTTAAATGCTCACAAATATATTTATTTATTTATTTATTTATGGAAAATATTTATATAACGCCTATACCATCATCATACGTCCCAGTTTGGTCGAGACAGTCCCGGATTTCCACCTTGTGTCCCGGGTTCCTAAAAGCAATATTTGTCTTGGATTTTATTTTTTGTTCCGGATTGTCCCGCGTTTTTAAGAAATAAATGTATAAACTGAGGTTTCAGAATTACGTGATGATAAAATTACAAATATCTAAACATGATGTAAACAATAAGTATGCCATGCTGAAAGAATAGGATATGAATGGGGAAAATTTTCGAATGCAAAATATCAGAGTGTTAAAATAGAATCTCGCATTGATAGTTTCAAACTTTTAATTCCAATCTTACGAAAATTAATAATTTTCGTCTTGTATTTTCAATTTTTAGAAAATAAGCACCTACTACTAAATGGACGTCCCGGTTTTCGCCTAAATCATATTGTCACCTTATTAATAGGTTATTAAAAAATTCTACATAAGTATTTAAATAAAATAACACTTCAATATTTTAATTCATGTATTCTAACAAATAAAAACGTATAAATGGTGTAATTACAAAAATACACAACTAGTCCTTTTGATAAATCACAATGATAATTAATTACCTAATATATATATACTATAAACTGTCCACTGTATATACTAAGTTTATAAAATAAATTCTGCATTATTAAATTGCTAATTATAAGTATCCCTGTCGCAAAATGTTGTCGATAGATCTAATGGCGATATTTTGTAAAAATTGTGACGAAAATAAGAATCATTCGAATTCTTCATTTCACTATACTTAATTAAAAAAATAATACTAAAAACTATTTTAAGGCCGTTTCATATGCCGACAACTAGATGAATATAAATCCTACATGAAGTAATATCACAATGTCCTTCTAATACTCACTTGTAATATTGTTTACAAATGGATTAATAAATATATAACTAGACTATTATAGTATTTGATATTACTAATTTAATTATACTTAAGTAATTAATACAATAGTACCGCATTTTATTTAATTTCTAATATTTGGATAAATTATTATAAGTAAATAATGTATTATAAGTAAACATAAAATAAATAAATCACTGTTTTGTGATGCATCGTAAATTAAGAATTATATCCTATAATTTTGCAAATAGCATAAAAAATAAGTAGAAATAATTTAGTTATTCATGATAATTTTCGGGAAAAAAACTCAAATAGAAGTCTAATGAGATTCCAATGCAGTCTTCTAATTGGAATGCTTAATGTTATAATTTTCAAAATATTTGAAAATAAAAGAACATTCTATTTAAATTAATTAAATTAAAATAATCTAGTCAATTTAAATACGTAAACGATTGTTGTAATTTATGCCAGTCAATCTTGATAAAAAATGGATGAGATTTTATTTCATTAACACCAGTTTGCCCACAGCCCAAACGCTCCGATTCATCTCCTTGAAGAAGCTAAAATATAATTAATAGTAAAACAACTTAAATTATTAAATATTACCATATTATTATTAATTATTAAATATTAAACTAAAGTATATTTTTATATGAAATGAACGTTTATATTTAAGAACTTAATAAATTTGTGATTATTTCAAATAATATGATCCTGACATGTAAAGCATATGAAAAAATAACAGCAAACTGTTCATTAGAAAATTATATGAATTCATTCATTAGGAATTGACATAATAAAAATGTATTAAGAAATATTAAGTATTGTCAGTAATTTTATCAAAAAGTGTTGTATCCATAATTTTATCAAAAAATGTACATATGATGTAGAATAAGAATATGACTATATTGTAATGGGAAGACAAGATAAACAAATATACAAAATGAAAAGTTGAATAAATAAAGCAATAATATAAATATTAAAATTTACCGCAATTAATAATGATGAAGCTTCATTAGAGATGTGGGGAGGAACTTGTAGAATCGTGAAATTTGTAAATCCATGGGGATGCAGTTTCTGCAAAGGCTGATCCAAATTTAAATTAGTATAATATTAACGCAGTAATACATGTAAATTAAAAATAAGGAAATATAGTAAATTGCAATATCAATGAAAATATAGCAAAGCAAACTCACAATTCCTAAGAAAAGTTGGTAAAGAGCAGCACCATAATACCACCAATCATGTATCTCCGTCTGGCGTACAAGAGGATTTACAAGTTCTGGAGCAATTAATTTATTGGAATCTTGCAGTCGATACCTTTGTAAATTAAACCCCAATGAACTTCGGTAGGTTAATACCAACTGGCCCTTTTCCCCAAGTAAGAGATCATTTGGATAAATTGGTCTAGAAATATAAACACATATAAAAGACCATATATATTTATTATTAGATAAAACTAAAAATCGTAAACATACCCACAAATAACTCCCCAATAATGTAAATGTTCAATAGCGATCAGTAATTCTGCAGCCCACTCTGCTAATAAACTTTGTGGAATTATATTTCTTTTCTCAATATTCTAAAAAAAATACATATATATATATATATATATATATATATAAATTTTCATTATTATTAAAAATTAAATATAAATATAAAGAAAAAAGGTGAATATCAATAAGCCCTTTGATTTATACCAACCGTTAATTGTAAAGATTGATCTTCATTGATTAACCATGAATCGCCACTTTCGAATTTATTATTCACCTGAGCATTATCATTAACATTAATATGACTTGCTTCTTTGCTTAATTTAAGCATATTGCACATATCTGGGCTAATATTACGTTTTTCATCCGATAACAATGTTTCAGAAATAGATTTTAGAAGTCGTGCCGAGTTATGCAATAACTTCTCCGTGTTTAAATCGGTTATTGCTTCCTCATATTCTAATACCCTTTTCTTATTAGTATTATTATTATTTCCAAACCCATCCCCACTTTCCATATTTAATTCATTGCTTTTTGTTTCCTTTTTATTATAATTCACTAGAAAGTCAGAAAATATTGCATCTTTTTTAGATGCAGTCTTCATTGTCTGAGGTTCCATTAATATACAATTTATATCTATTTGTGTATTTTCTGATTTACAAAAAGCATTTGTGACTATAAAATTATGTATTCTATCGCATAGTTTGCCGCCACTGTGCAAAAATATATATAATTAGAATAAATCCGAAACATAAATGATTATACATAATATGATATAATATTTTCCCTTACCTTACATATTTTAGTAAAAGATATATGGATGTTTCTGATTGAAAATAATTAATCAAAGGCACCATAAATGGTACATTATGTGGAAAAATATTCTCTACAAATATATCATTCCTTAATATCTTTTGTGTGGTCTACAAAATACATTTTATTAAAAGTATGAATTAAGATTATTAAATATATCAACAAAATTCTATTCACTATCTACCTTTATGATACATAAATCTTTAGTTCGTGTATCAGAAACTTGAAGAACAGTATTCACTATTCGTAAAACATGAAAGTTGTGTAATTCTTCTAAAGGGCGTTCAAAATTGCCCAGCTTTGACTTATATGCACATTTTGTACTATGGGAATGTTCCTGTGTGATTTTGTCACCAAAATTAGAATTAGCTATGACTTCATTGTCAAATGTACTACTTACATTTTTTACATCTTCACTATCATTAGCAATTAATGAACGAAGAACATTTTCATGTTCCTTATATTTATTTAATTTAGATGTAATCAGAGAACAGCGATCTAAGTCTGGATCAGCTTTAACAATATTATTATTGGTTAAAAATATTCATTATTCACAATAATCAAATTAGATACAAAATTTAATATTTTACTCAGCAAAAGTAATTAATAAGCAAAATTAAACTTTCAATAGCATATAGTTAATTTCTCACAATGAATTCCTGTTTCCAAACAGCTAATTCCAACTTTATATAATTCTGCAGCAATGCTATAATGTTTAGAGTCTTCACATTGAACTGCTTTACTAAAATGATAAGCTGCCTCAAATATATAATCTGATCCTCCTTTATTCTTTAAACTCAACTGCAACAAATTTTCTTCAAGCAGTTTAGATTCAGAATCATCTGTGTTACGTGATGTGTATTCAGATACAGGATTATCTGTTTGTTCTTTTTTTTCACATTCATTTTTTGTGATAGTTTCTATATAAGGTTCACAAGATTTATCTAAATTTTCTGGTTCTCCACAGAAAATATTTGAACATTCTGAAAGACTTGTACTACTACAGGCAGAATCAACATCAGACTCATTACGTATTGATTTAATTGATAATAAATCATCTTCTTTAGGCAAACTAAGAGAACATCGTATCACAGCAATATTACCGCATTCATTTTCATTGGGAATTTGTGTAGTCTAAAAGATTTTTATAATATAGATTTTGAAAAAACAATATTTAGTTGCATATGTACCTCAAAAAACTGGACAAAACATTGTGCTGTAAATAACGATGTGTTGGTTGAGACATAAGTGAGGAATTCCAAAATATCTTTTTTTCTACTTTCTATAACTTCAGTATCAAATCTGTTGATGAAATATGATGAAATGAAAGCATAGCAATCCAATATAAAACTCAATTCATTTAATTAATATGCAGTAAAGGGAAATTAAATTAGAAAATATTTATTTATTTATTCATAAACAAGCCGTAATCAATAATAATAAATATTATCTCTTGTTAAACTTATTCATTTAAGTAAATAAAATAAAAATATAACAATAGTCATAATGTAAGTATTTATGGAAAATTCCAGTCAAACCTAAATTTCATGTGGAAAATTTTATATATCTAAACCTGTACAAATAGTAGTTATTAATACGAAATAAGATATAATATTTGAAAAAAAAAGAACATAGTTGTGCATAAGATCAAAAGGTCAAAATTCAGTAAGAAAATAGTTATTGAAATCAGATCGAGTAAATTCTATAGAATCATAAAAGGCAAATTCTTTGAAAAGTAACAAAAGTAGCATGGAATTTTTTGTTCAAGTATCAAATATGAAATAGGAGTTTTTTCATACTTTCCTTAAGAACCATATTAAATTAAAAGAACAAAGATTATACATCTGCATCAATTATTAAAACTAATTAGAATAATATACATTGTAGTTAGTATTTTACATAGAATGCCTGACTTTGTATCCTTAAATGGTTAATCATAATTAAATGTGATCTTAAGCATCCATGTATATTTATTCATTTTTGACCTTTATTATTATACAAAGTATATTCTATTAACAACTATTATGCATTTATTATAATATTTTATATTCATCGCATCTTCATTAAGATAAGTTTGTAATTTTATGTTGTAAGTTGGTACCAAATCCAGCATAAATGCTTTTATAAATCGACCCTTATCCGTACAATAAGGGACATATCAGGTAAAACTGATTATTATTGAGCGGGAGTTAGTCATGATTGAACCGCCAACAAATGCAGACTAAAATATCAATACTTAATCATGTAAGTTAAAATTTAAAATAAAATCGATAAATCTTATAAAGTGTTTTATTTTTACATATCAAGAAGAGAACCAGTAATTAATATCTCTCCAATTCATAGCTTCTTCCTTTCCAAATGACTATAAATTCATACCTTACATTATGAATATATCTAATGAGCATTGTTGAACTTATGATTCTAATAGATTCATTAAAGTTTCATAAATAGTCAATCAGAATATTAATTCTAGAAATACCTTTGAATGTTTTAACTCACAATTATCAAAATAGAATTACCTATTGAAATAGCCTCCTCTTGTAAGACTTGGAAAATGATCCCTTACTCCAAGACTATTATGACGACTTTTTAATAATTGATATAATTTATAAATTTCATTAAATCTTTTCCAAACTGTTATGCTAGTCGATGCATCTGGACTATGTATAGGAAATATCTGAGTTTCAAACATAAAATTGTTAATAAATTCAAAAAATAAATTAAAATTATCTATATCACACTGACATTTGAGGTTATTTTATAAATAGTAAATCCTTTGGAGTGTTTTCTAGTTTCTGTTACAGAAAATTTTCTAATCCATGTTGTACTTTCCTTAGAACTCATCATATCACTTGCATATATATAAAATCTATTTTTTGTAATATTATTTACAAAATAATATTATATACAACTTCCTATTGTCAACCTATAAATCACTTTTTCAACGAATTTGTGATTCAAAAACATATTTCATTCTATAAAATTTGAATATGTTTTTATATTTTAATTTCAAGTCTACTTAGAAATAAACTCATGTTTAAAAATTGGAAAACAGAACTAATATGAAACACATTTTATTGAAATAATATAAAAATGTAACGTTTAAATAAGTTGATTCCAACAGTCTTTATTTAGAATAATATAAAAGATACATTTTATATATTTACAATAATTTTATACAAATTTCTTAAGAATTATTAAGAGTACAAGATACTATGTTACAAACTAAATGATTAACAGCTGTTATTTTGAAACTTGACCTTATTCGATTGAGAATGATTTGAAACATTGAGAAAACAAAAAATTAACAAATTTAATTTTTTCGCTAAAACAAACTTTACCTTCGGGAAGTTAAAAAGAAGTTAATTTGTAATCATTTGTATTCTGGCAGCGATACATCCTCCAAGAGGCAGCCCTCTAACTCCTTATCAATATAAAAACCAATGCACATTTATAAAAAAATATTTTGCAACACTTATTACATTTATATTCACAATAGTATATTAAATTTATACTAATATTAGTACAAAATATTTATTTTCTCCAGTATTGTGCAAATTTATGTAACTGCTCCACGAGAGCAGCCATCACAGCAGTTACCGAAAGATCTAGTAAGTTTTGCATATACAAGACTGCTTCTTCATCCCCTAAATCAAGTCTAAGTTTGTCTTGCACCTTTTTTACTGCTTTGTCAGGCTCTAAAGCAATATCAGGAACAGAGGCATCAACCATTAACGAAAATAAATTAAGCATTAGATTTGCGTGCCTAAAAAATAAATATTTAAATAAATTTAAAGTGATAAATATTTACTAATAATTTAACTTTGTAAAAATCTGTTTTTAATTTATTATTCAATCGATATGAAACTCAAAATTATTTAGATATCATATATGGTAAGATTTCCAACTATATTTAACAATTTTCAATAAAATACTTTTTTATGATCTTTTATGGTCAGATTTATTTATATGGATCTCATAATTTTAAATTAAATTTACCTCCGCAAATGAAGAAAAGCTGTATAACATAATTTTCGAAATTCTTGGTGATGTTCTGAATGCGCCCCACCCATGGCTTCAACCATTTCCTTAGACAATTTCATAGGTGGTGGTAAAGGTTTTGGGTCTCTTCCAAGAATATATCCAAAATCAATATGGAAAAGCTTTCCAGATGTTGTTAAGAGTAAGTTGTCCAAATGCCTATCCCCAACACCTAAAAAGAGACAATATATTTTGTAGAATATTTGGTTATTTTAAAATTTCAGATTATATATATATATATATATATATATATATATACATATATTTAAATTTATTTTTCATAATTTACCTAATAGATATGTTATAACACAATATCCTGCACAACTTCTGATATATGTGTCCATTATTTCAGGGGCAATTCCATATGGGGCAGTTTCGTGTGGATGATGTTTCCTGAAAAATGCTTGTATGCTACCTTCTGTTGCCAATACTTCAGCCACAGTAAAGGAATCAATAAATTGAAGAAATCCATGTTTGGTACTTGTAGCTAAAACTCTATTTATTAAGAAAAAAATAAATTCATGTTTACTATGTATAGAGTAAATTTAAAAAAAAGGTCTTACTTATATGGCGTTAGTTTGAGGTCCAAGTTTTCTTTTCTTAAAAGTTTATCCATAAGAGTGATCATTTGTAATATAAGCTGATCTTGCCTTAAATCGTCACCATATTTAAAAATTGTAACATATTCTTTATTGTCTTTTGTAATAAAAGTCAGCTTAGAAGGCATTAAGGCTGATTTAAAAAGACTTGCTTTTGGTGGTATCATGCCTTTGATGATTATATCTGGATCTAAAGGCAGTGGAATAGGATCAAAGCTTACAAAATTAAATTTGAAAGCATCGGAATCACTTAATAATTGTTGCAACTTATCCGTCTTTTTCTTTCTATTTCCACTTTCTCTAACAACAGTTTTTATGAGCTTAACTAATTTATCAATGAACTTTTGTTGGTCTTTTAAAAATGTATGCCTCTTTTGAAAGTCACCAGATCCTAATTAACAATACTTCATGAATAACTATAAAATTATGAAAGTTATTTGAAGAAAATATTTACCTTTAGCTAAAACATAAGAAAAGGTTTTGAGAACCATTAAATACATTTCACGAACTTTATCATCCGGCTTTATGTTATTTGGATCTGTGGGATCTTCACATTCAATAATTAAGTACCAGTACAAGAAGTTAGCTAATTTAGAATTCATGGAAGCTCGATGTATTAAAAAAGATGCTAAATCATGACAACCATCTTCTTTACTTAAGAGAGTATCTGTGTTTTCTGAATCTATACTACTTCGTGAAATATTCATCTTAGAATGCAAATCCTGTTGAACTTTTTTCTTAAAAATCTGCGAATTTGAACTGATTGATAGTTTCGAATCATTTTTCTGTAGATCTATGGCACTGCCTGAACCAGATGCTGCCATTTGATCAGCTATATTGCCTTGGAAGGGTAATAATTACATTATATGCAGTTTATCAAGAACAAAAGATAAATTCATAATTCATACTTGAAGATAATTCTCGGTCTAAATCAGTTTTAGCATTTTTATCCTTATTTAAATCATCTTGCGAATTTAAAGAATCAGTTCCTGGTGCTATATTTCTAAAAACCTCATTAATGTCATCAAAATTCTCATATTTCAATGCTTGAACTAATTGTAACAAATATAATAGCAAATGCTCATCAGGGGCTTCTTTCAATCTGGTGACTGCATATCTATTAAAAGTATAATAAATATGATAATTGAAGAATTAAACTCCTTTAAAATTTGAACAAACCTTCGTACAGTAGGATGAGTAAAATTTGGACTCAAAAGCTCAAGGGCATCTTCAACATCCATAGGTGCCCATTGCATTAATAGTGTTAATGCTTGGCGAACCTCACCTGCATAATAATTATACAATTAATTTTGATCGTAATCATAATTTTATTATTTATTATTTTGCATCTTTAAGAGACTACATTTATCATCAACTCACGCTATAATAACAAATAATAATAAAAATTATAACATATGATTTTATGAAATAATTATATTACCACTTAATTTCCAATTGACACATTTTAAAAACTTGGTCAAAGCTTTCTTTTGTGAACTAAGATAAAAACGGAATTTCCAAACTAAATCTTGTTCCTCACTCGATAATTGTTTAGTAGGAGGGTATCTGAAAAGTAAGGTCTTTTTAATTAGTTCTGATGATAAGACAAAACAATAATAAATAATTAACTAACCTAACAATATTATTCAATTGGTCTCTAACAATTGCATTTGGTTTAGCATCTCGATCAGAAACTCCACTACGTACTGAACGAGATAATTTATGATGTTTACTTTCAACAAGATTTTCCTATTTATATAAAATATAGTTTAGCATAAAATGTATTAATAAAGCATGAAGTAATTAATATATGTAATACCTGTAATATTTCAGAGTCAGGTACGCTGACCAAGTCAGTTTGCACTCGAAATTGATAAATATCATCACCATCTTGTTCATAGTATACTATAGAGTGCTGCAAATACATTCATCAAATTTTAATTACACATTTGAATCGTTAATAAATGTGTATCAAAATATAGATTTACCTGTACATTGTCAATAAAAATAGTTGGAAATTCTACAGTTAGATAAAGAAACTCTGAAGTACGTTTCTCTTTCTCATTGATCATCTCAATTTCTCTGAAAGTCAATCTATCGAGCCAATCTACCTAAATATTTACATACTTGTTTAAAAAATATTTATTGAAAATTTAACATTTTGATTTAGTTGTAAAGATGTTATAGGATCTCAAAACTTACTTTACTGATGTGACCATTACGATGTTTCTTTGCCAACTTGCTTAATCTCTGCATCTGATCTTTCCCTTGATCTGGTGATTTTCCAGGAGTAGATGAAGGCCAATTACTGTCAGCTTCTCTATTCAGCCAAATTCTCAAATCAAACATTCCCTGAAAATTAGATTAAGAAAAAGGATATAATACAAATATTATGGAATAAAAAAGATGAACGAATTAATAGATTATACTTAATTGTTAAAATTACTAAATCATTAACAAACAAGAAAAATATTGAATTCATTTTATTACCTGCCTAAATACTCCATATTTTCCAAATAATGAAATTGTTGTGCCACCGACTGGAAGCATTCTTCCTGGGCCAGCACAATCATAAACAGTAAGACAAAGAATGGCATTGCGAGGAAGCTCACTAAATTGCACACCTAATGTAACCCATTCATTCCAACTACAATTGCAAATTTAATAAACATAATAACCTTATAACAACTGAAGAGGATATGCAACATGTATACAGTATTATGCATTTTACTTACTTCCATCTTGTTGTGAATGGTTTATAACTTGTAGTAGTTGGTAGAGCCAAAGGTTTTCCATTAGCAAATATCTGACAGTTTACTATCAAATCGGCACAGCTGTCCAGACATAGGCCAGAAAACCTCAGTAATGGATCTGCTAATAATTTATCATATTCTGGTCTTTCACGCTGACCCTCTAGAGTCCCACTTAAGATATAATTGAATAAATAAGATTAAATATATATGTATGTATATATTGTGAAATAAATAGAAGATATATATATATATACATTTTAATCTGAACCCTGTGTTCTAATGAAGAGCTGTAGACATAACAAAATTGATCATCTAACTCTTCCATTATTAATTTATGTCGACTACGCTCATAATAATACAGTAACACTTTCAACCTCTACTAGAAGCATTAAATTGTCAAAATAAAGGCAATAGTAAACACAAACACATGTACGATCTATCAGCTGTCAACACTAAACGTCAAAACTGTTGCAGCGTACTTCATGTGACATGTTTGTGCAATAGCTTTTCGGGCACAAACATGTCACATGAAGTACGCTGTACGCCGGAAGTACGCAACAGTTTAAATCCTGTTTAAATGTTTAAAATGTCAAAAAATGTTTTGAAGACAAAATCCTAGAAAATATTAGAATCATATTAGCTTCATAACAAAATAATAAGTGTTTGGAAAGTGTTTTGATTTTAGGTTTAATTTAATTCGTTATTTCTTTAAAACTGTAATAAATATTTTACTAAAAGAAAATACATTTTATTTGCTGCAGTTGTTATATAGATCTTCGTGAATTGTTCAAAACTAGTGCTAGTTTTTTTATTATTTTTTATTCTAAAGACATACAGTTAATCGTCGCTTTACGCGGCAAGTGCATACCGTGCAGTATGGAGACAGTGCTATAAAATACTCGTATTTAACATACAACAGGCTAATTCGAAGTGCTGTTGACAAAATACCGTGTAATAAAAAGTCCGTGTAGTCGGAGGGATGTCGGATTTTTAGCTCCGTATAGTATGGGAACCATGTACCCAGAGTGCCGTTTACAGCGAGTGTCTACTGTATTTTAATTACTAAAGGTAAGTTGAAATAATTCATATCACTTTTGTATCTTGATTTGAAAAATATAATCAAATTTCAGAATTTGTTACAAGTTACAAAAATTACATAAGAAACAAACTTTTTTGAGAAACTTTGAAATTTAATTAAAATTTGATATGATGAAAGTTGTGCTATTCACAAAAGAAAAACAAATGGTTTTTAAATATAGAAATTGATTTGCATAAAGCAACTTTATTCAAGGAGGTAAAATCTTACAATTCAGTATATTTGTTATTTGAATACTGAAATTATAATGAATAATGCCAAGTTTAAAATGTTATCAGAAATTTTGTATTTTAACTCAAATTTCATGGTTGAACCAGTATAAAGAAAAATAGTTTTTAAATTGAGAATTAGCCCATAATTATATTACCATGAAAGCAATTTAAAGAAATAAACTCCAACATAATATTTTAATTTTTCTAATTAAAAGAAAAATTTGAACTAATTAAATTCCAAAAAAATAACTGAAATGAATATGGCTATTAAAACAAACATATCAATTCATACACATGTTTATTTAGAATAATAAAATAAAAATAGATAAAATTAAATCACATTTATATAAAAAACAGTTATGAGATTCTTAAAACCCTCCTCTCAAACGTAACACTAAATGGAGAGTAGACTCCTTCTGAATATTGTAATCTGACAATGTCCTTCCATCTTCTAATTGTTTGCCGGCAAAGATCAAACGTTGCTGATCCGGTGGAATACCTTCTTTGTCTTGGATTTTTGCTTTTACATTTTCTATGGTATCTGATGGTTCAACTTCCAATGTGATTGTTTTACCAGTTAAGGTTTTAACAAAAATTTGCATACCACCACGCAATCTAAGAACTAAATGAAGAGTAGATTCCTTTTGTATATTGTAATCTGACAATGTTCTTCCATCTTCTAATTGTTTGCCAGCAAAGATCAAACGTTGCTGATCTGGTGGAATACCTTCTTTGTCTTGGATTTTTGCTTTAACATTCTCGATGGTATCAGAGGGTTCAACCTCCAATGTGATAGTTTTACCAGTTAAAGTTTTAACAAAGATTTGCATACCTCCACGAAGACGCAATACCAAATGCAGGGTTGACTCCTTTTGAATGTTATAATCTGATAATGTTCTGCCATCTTCTAATTGTTTTCCAGCAAAAATAAGACGTTGCTGATCTGGTGGAATACCTTCTTTATCTTGAATTTTAGCTTTTACATTTTCAATGGTATCTGATGGTTCCACTTCCAGTGTGATTGTTTTACCAGTCAAAGTTTTTACAAAAATTTGCATACCACCACGCAATCTAAGAACCAAGTGGAGGGTAGACTCTTTTTGGATATTGTAGTCTGACAATGTTCTACCATCTTCTAATTGTTTGCCGGCAAAAATTAAACGTTGCTGGTCTGGTGGAATTCCTTCTTTGTCTTGGATTTTAGCTTTTACATTCTCAATTGTATCAGAAGACTCTACCTCTAATGTAATTGTTTTGCCAGTTAAGGTTTTAACAAAAATTTGCATACCACCACGCAATCTAAGTACCAAGTGGAGCGTGGATTCCTTTTGAATATTGTAGTCAGACAAAGTTCTGCCATCTTCTAATTGTTTACCAGCAAAGATCAAACGTTGCTGGTCTGGTGGAATTCCCTCTTTATCTTGGATTTTAGCTTTCACATTTTCAATTGTATCTGAAGGTTCAACTTCCAAGGTAATAGTTTTACCGGTCAAAGTTTTTACAAAGATTTGCATACCTCCACGAAGACGTAATACTAAATGTAATGTTGATTCCTTTTGAATATTGTAGTCAGACAAAGTTCTGCCATCTTCTAATTGTTTACCAGCAAAGATCAAACGTTGCTGATCTGGTGGAATACCTTCTTTGTCTTGAATTTTTGCTTTTACGTTTTCAATAGTGTCTGATGGTTCAACTTCCAATGTGATAGTTTTTCCAGTTAAGGTTTTAACAAAAATTTGCATACCTCCACGAAGACGCAGAACTAAATGCAGAGTAGATTCTTTTTGGATATTGTAGTCTGACAATGTTCTGCCATCTTCCAATTGTTTACCTGCAAAGATCAAACGCTGTTGATCTGGTGGGATTCCTTCTTTATCTTGAATCTTAGCTTTCACATTTTCAATGGTATCTGAAGGTTCAACTTCCAATGTGATGGTTTTTCCAGTTAAGGTTTTAACAAAGATTTGCATACCGCCACGCAATCTAAGAACTAAGTGGAGTGTAGATTCTTTTTGGATGTTGTAATCAGACAAAGTTCTTCCATCTTCTAATTGTTTGCCAGCAAAGATCAAACGCTGCTGATCTGGTGGAATTCCTTCTTTATCTTGAATCTTAGCTTTAACGTTTTCAATGGTATCTGAAGGTTCAACTTCCAATGTGATGGTTTTTCCAGTTAAGGTTTTAACAAAGATTTGCATACCACCACGCAATCTAAGAACTAAGTGGAGTGTAGATTCTTTTTGGATGTTGTAATCAGACAAAGTTCTTCCATCTTCTAATTGTTTTCCAGCAAAGATCAAACGCTGCTGATCTGGTGGAATTCCTTCTTTATCTTGGATTTTAGCTTTTACATTCTCAATGGTATCAGAGGGCTCTACCTCTAATGTAATAGTTTTTCCAGTCAATGTTTTTACAAAGATTTGCATACCTCCACGAAGACGTAATACTAAATGCAATGTTGATTCCTTTTGGATATTGTAGTCAGACAAAGTTCTGCCGTCTTCCAATTGCTTACCAGCAAAAATCAAACGTTGCTGATCTGGTGGGATTCCTTCTTTATCTTGTATCTTAGCTTTAACGTTTTCAATGGTATCTGAAGGTTCTACCTCCAAAGTAATGGTTTTCCCTGTGAGAGTTTTCACAAAGATCTGCATTTTGAAACTGGAAAGAAATATTAAAAGTTAGATTAAATTTTAATAATAATAATTTCGAATATCTAGTTTTTCAAAAATTTCATTTATATATTATTAACACCTAAAAGATTAATATCGTAAATGAATAACCTTATAACTTCACTTTAATTTCAAAATAAAGTGAAGCATATGTGAAACAAAGCCACGCCTTTGAAAAGTAGCACAAAATGGCTGCCATGACGAAACAATAAAACTGAAATAATAAAATACTTACGATTATTAACCCCAAATTTACAATCAAGATGTATTTCTGCTAAAACGAATTTGATTTTCACTTAAATGTTTTTCTATAATGCACAATTGTTTTAACAAATAGCTGTCTATTTAATACTTTACGATCACTTCGATTAGTCACTTCACTTTACTTTACAAGATGGTTTCACGAAGCGTTGGAATATATAGCCTCGGTCCCCTCTCTTAAATCAATACTATCTACAAAACCTGCGCGAGCATGAAAAAAACTAGTCAATTGGAGAACTGAGGTACGTTTCTGTGTCTGTCTCTTTCGTTTACACGGAGATTAAATCAGAATTTCGGACGTATTCCTCTATGTTTTCTAGGAAATCGATTAATGTGTTCGAGAAGCGTCGTATTCAAACAGCTGGAGAGCTACGAAATATTCATATAAAGTTTGTTTTATTTTGTTACGAAAAAACAAATAAATATTCAAATATAATGAACTTTCATTTAAACAATAAACATATTTGGAGGAAAAAATTATTGTTCTTCTTTTGTTAACCACAACCTCATTTTAATTTACTCTAAAACTATACTCGAAAGTTTCTTTTATATATACAGATCTCAATAATTACACAAACATCAAATATTATCTTAGAATTGTTTTAAAATAGGCTGTCAAATTATATTTTACACGATAAATGTAAAAATTAATAGCAATTTTCAAGTTATTAGCAAAATAATTTTTCTCTTTAACTTTCGGTTTGACTAGGCATATTATTCTTAATTTAAACTGCTCTTTTTTTATTAATTTAATATTTGAACCTCCAGAAAATAGTTTGGTAAAAGTTGCTAACCGAGAATAAACTATTCCATGTTTTACCAAAACTGTTAAATTCGGGATTCAATTTTTTATTATGAGAATTGGTTCAAGACTTAAGATTATACGTAGTAATTAAAACTATTGAATTCTATAGTAAAATGTATTTTAGAGAATTAATTAAATATTAGAAGCATAATTTTCTTTGACCTCGTCGCATGTTCGCCTACGTCAGCAGCGTCAGCTGTTTGCTCGTATGCGCAGTACAAAACCAAACAATGAAAAGACGTAGCGTCGAGACGTTTTATTTTATATTGATTTTTCAATTATTATTGAAAATTCTTATAGAAAAAATAACATATTTATCATTAATAATCATAGAAGATATCAGAGACTCACTTTACCAATTAGATTATAGCCCATAACTGTAATTGAAACTAGTTGTGAGTAGCATTTTGCCTGAAGGCAAGCTGCATGAACTTTCCGAACGATACATGTTTTTAATCGATTTCATCAACGAGAATTAGAATTAGCTATTCAAATAAAATGTTCAAACAGTTTTTTTTGGAATTTTATTAAAAACGATTTTTATTTTATAAAATTTTATATAAAATATATGTAATAGTCTTAATTACAATACACCTTGTTTATCTAATTTTATTTCATTTATTTCATGTTTCAACAATATATTTTATTTGTACGGCCGTAAGCTGTAATCAGCAGAAGTTCTACGAAATACGATTCTGATTCTGATTGGGATCGCTTGTGAACGACGAAATTCTGAAAATGATTTTTTTAAATACAACTGGTTATCGCATGCCTATAATATTTTAGAGTCTAAAATTTAGACTACGAAATCCATTGCTAGTCGTAGAAATGCCCCGGCCGATCTTTACCGAATACTAATCAACGCGATTCCCAACCAATATTTTTCGAACAGGTTTTGAATTTTCAAAATCGAGTACAAATTATGGGCTGAAATGTGGCCAAACAATTTTACACTGCTAATTACAAAGAAACGGTTCGGCCGATCGTGGTGCAAATCGGTCCAGCCGTTTTTGAGAAAACGTCGACAAATGGTCACTTTATACGCACACATACTTTTTCCAAATTTGTTCTCATTGGATTCAGAATGACTTGAATCGTCGAGAAAACTTTCTAATTAAAATCAGCCATCTGGATTTTTTTGCGAAAACGAACTTCTTTGTTGGGAAAGTTGAAAATGATATATTCACCTTCAATAATCATTTAAGATATATCGAATTACTTTATCAAATAGATATTTTATAAATAGACTATAAGTTTTGTTTCTCGTAGATATCTTATATATGTCATTTTAAAGTACTTGCTTTAAATAATTGACTTCAATTAAATTAATTACAACAAAGCATATTAATATTTTTATAAATCTACATATTTACGATGAATTTTCGTATATCTGTCGTATTTGGCTAATGCCCAGATAATGCCCACACGTGTATTCAAGTAAAATTTCTGATGACGCAGAAACTAAAAAATATTATCTTTACAGCTGACAAGAAATATATCTGAATGTTTTCATCGCTAATCTATATTTTCAAAATTAAACAGAGTTTTTATTTTTCGTCACCGCTAAATTTATTATTCCTCAATTTATTTAAATCCTGCAATGCTACTTGGTACCGTTAAAGAAATAATAATACATTTACCCTTTACCTATACCTGAAGGTATAGATACCTGTATATAAATAATTTGCAGGTAATATAACATTTATATTACCTGTATCATAGATTAGTATGGACCCGTATATTACTTCTTGAGTTATATTAGTTTTTGATTGTAGTACATCAAACCGTTAAAGAATACCAGCATAGAAAAATATTTTTTATTTATGAATTTAAAACAATTTTAATTTATACAGTTTTTGTTTTTTGCACAATGAAATGTATCAAATATTCAACATAAGCTTTCAACTTCAATATATTTTATTTAAGATTCATGTGTATGCCAAAGATATAAATATAATATCTTTAAAAAAGATGAAATGAGAAGGGTATAAATTGGTATTGCAAGATAATGCTTGTCTTGTTACCTTTGTGTATACATAATCCAATTTTTTTTGAACTAAAAATTATTAGTATGTAATAGATAAGATAATTTTATATTTTGCCAATAATATATGGTTAAAAGTTTAAATTCATTTGAATTCTAAATCCGTAAATATAACGTTGTTGACCTTGTTTTGTTTTCCGTTTGCAAGTAATAGCGCAGTGCAAGAGAATAATAACCGAACAAAGAATAACCGTTATTAAAGAGTTAAAAATAAATTAGGCTGTTGATCTGTTATTTTTGATAGCAATCTATATTTGTTATAAATTTACTTCCAAACACTTCTTTCCAACTTTTAGATAATTACAACAAGACTGCTATTAATAAAGGGTCCGCCATCTTTTCGCAGCCATTTAAGAGTTAGACAGCCATGTGAGCGTTTTCAAAAAAAGTTGGTCCATTATTAACTGGAAGAATTGTACTTTCGAATAAAAAAAACAAATTTAAAAAAATATCCAGTAGTTTTTTATAGCATTTTCAAAAAAAAAAATATTTGGCGGACCCTATATTATACGATCAAAATAGACATTCCAATATGTGCCATAAGTTCATAACAAGAGATTTAATTGAATAATGCACAAATAATTAATTGCTTGGAATGATGAGAGATAAAGGACAGCTCTGTTTTAAAATGGTACACTAACAGGATTATAAATTAAGTTTACAAGATCATAAATATTAATTTAATATATTAAACAAAAATGAAATCATCAGGACAACTTATTTTGAAAATCGTTATGTATAAAAAGACATTTTCATCTAAGCTGTTTGTATTTAACTTTACATAATATAATAAGATATAATTAAAATTTAATTTCTCCGCTAAGATCTAATAAAAAATCACTTAGAAATGCACGAATTCTGTAAAATATCTGAAACCTAAACAGTTTACTTCATAGGTTTCTCAAAAATACTCTTCACAGTTCAATCTCAGTCTAATTCTTGGACCATCTTGTTTTGTATTAGTACGCTAAACTTATTTACACTATGTATTTTAAATTTAAACAATAATACGTATTTAATCTGCTTTGTTTATCCAAATTCGTATTTTTACGAATAGAACGTCAAAACACTTGTCTGGTTACCGCGAACCAGCAGGAACGGGGGCATATCCCGCGTTAGTACCTCGAGCCAGGCCATGTAAAGCGGTGCAGAGACGGTGCCTTTCCTGGGCATTGGTAAGGACATTATGATCAAATTGGCCTCGGTGGAATGCTGCAAAAGGAGTTCTCTCAAACGCATTTGACGATTGCTTTTTTCGTGTAAAGTTGCCATTTCGGTATCAGATACGTAGCATTCTGAAATACGAAAAATAGGGGTTGGATTAAAATTTTTACTTTCAAAAACACAAATCTTTGAAGCAAAATTTTGAATTATCTTGTCATATTTATTAAATTTATCTCTAAAGTGCATATTCTTATATAAAATAAATGAACTACATAAATTTATTTCGTCACCCTTAATTGATTTTTAGAACTGCTATAAGAACAATAGTCCTATGCCTTTTAGAAAGCAATGATTGACTCATCGATGCCTGATATATTTTATCATTATGATTTTTTTAATACAGATTTTTTTATTCTCATATATATTTACAATTGCCCATTTACAAGGTCATTAGGAAATTTTGATTATTTACAATAATCAGCTGTAAAAAAGACATTGGGTAAATAATGACATGCTAGAAAAATCGGAGGCTCCGCTCTTTTAAAAACTGAGTTACCGTTTTGGCACTTTTTGCTCCATATCTTTGGAACGGCTAGACCTGCCTTCGCCAAAAACTAATCAGCATGCCTCCTCATCAATACGAATCGAATGTTTTTTGAATTATTCAAATCGCTTCATCCGTGTTCCCGAAATCGTCGACGAAAATTTGCATCCGAACACACACACATCACGCACACACACACATACATCCATTTTTTTTCTAAGGTATGCCAAAATGTTCAGAAGGTTTTGAAACGTAAAGATATATATAAAAATCTTCATTTTCGATTTTTTTGCGATTACTATAACTTGCCTTACGGGAAGTTAAAAACAACTTAGGATTTCTCTAATACTCATGATATAATTTTGATTTGATGAAAGATTTTTTGATTGTGAGAATAATCTATTTCACTTGTGATCATATTTTTTATTTATATTTATTATATTTATGTTAGATGTAAATCCAATTTTATATGCATGTATAAATTCAAGAGCAATTCAAGGCATGAGGCATGTGACTTATTTTTTCAAGAATAACAAAACGCATTAATCAATAGTTCCATTCTATTGTCTCAGCCACGCACAAAAATAAATAAATATTCACGAAGATAATTTTTTTTTTCATAATTCAATTGAAATTTCTTTAATTAGTAAAGTTGTTTCAATATATATTAATTAATTTTGATTATTGATTAATTTAATTTTTAATTAATTTTGATTAATTTTGATAAAAGTTATAGAAATATAAATATAATTATATTTCTATAATTTATTTATTATTTTACTATTATTTTACAAAAAATCGGATTTTGTCAAAAGTTAAATTAATATAGAATATTAAAACAAATTTCAATTATTTTGTGACGAATTGCATCAGAAATACTAGTTATTGTGAGTCACCATTATTCGTGATATGAAATTGGCATAGTGCGGCAGTTGATGTAGCTATTACGTGACTAATAAAAATAAGAAATGAATCATAGGAAATTATATCTGTTGATATGTGCTAATATAATTATTCTTATTATGTTAAGTTAATGATCTAATAGTTCGCTAGATAAACACCTCAAAATGAGGTCAAAATTACAGCTGCAATAAGATAAAGAGACAAAAACATAGAGAAAAGTTGATAAAATCCTATCTGATGCGCGCGGTTTTAAAAATGAATTCTTCTTTGCTACATTGTTTTTTACACACATACACAAATATATATATATATATATATATATATATATATATATGAGTGAGTTCTTGAGGGCGATACATCAAACAAAGAAAAGCCAAAGATTTATAAAATAATCTTTATTTCCAAACGTTTCGACATTCAATTTAATGTCATCATCAGTGGATATTACGTTGGTTAGTTACATATAGAGAAGTGTACACAGCACTAGAGATTTAGATACATGATACATTTAGATACACTTAGATACATGCCTCGGTACTAGCAAAGTACAGAAGTCGTGGCAGAAATTACATAATTCTACTTACATTTTTGTTCAATAAAACTATCATTTTTCTGTTTACATCATACAAAAAAATTATATAAAAAAATGCATAGTGCTGACAAGTTAGTTGTATAAATGTTAGTGCCAAATCTCTAGTGCTGTGTACACTTCTCTATATGTAACTAACCAACGTAATATCCACTGATGATGACATTAAATTGAATGTCGAAACGTTTGGAAATAAAGATTATTTTATAAATCTTTGGCTTTTCTTTGTTTGATGTATCGCCCTCAAGAACTCACTCATATATTTCAACATCAAAATTAACTACTATATCATATATATATATATATATATATATATATATATATATATTTATATATATATGATACTTTTACTATTTATTAAATTTAACAAAATTACCGTCATCGTCGTCTTGTCGGTCTGATTCCCTAAATCCATTTAACAAATGGTTGAATAATTGTTTAGATTCAGCTTTTGGTTCTACCGTTATATCTTGAACCATATGCAATGATGAGTAGTCTATACGGAACTTGGATAAAAGATTGGCCATACTGAAAAAATAAAATTGAACATGATTACAGTTCTAGTCATAGATAAATTTTATTAAGAGATAATTTAAAAATTGCACACAATTATTAACGCTTTCGTCAGACTACACTTACAACTATGACAAACTGATTATTCAGAGCATTTCTTTTGATAAAATAAAACAATAAATATAATTTTACGCATGTAGTATAGTATGTAATTTCTAATATACAGGAATGAATTCCACAGATTATATTAAACTTCGATAACCATTGTTCACATACTTGCGTTCTTCCAATTCCATTTCTTGTTGTCGGTTAGCCAGAGCAAATATTCTCAATTTACATTCCGACCAGTAAGAACGAGTGCTCAAAATATAAGGCAACAAAATTGTTAAACCACCATCGTCATACAACCACCAAACGTCTATCGTTCCTGGTGCTTGGCGTTTCTGGAACAGTGATATGCTGGTTATAGCGCGTTTGGTAATTTCCGACCCATTTCTTGTGCAATACACAATAGAATCATCCTGCTGCTTCTGTCGATTTGCTGCACTCTTTAAAGCTTTAGCCGCTGTAAATAAATTAATAATGCATAATATATTCGATGACTTAGTACAATAAAGATCAATTTGTACCTGATTTATGAAGCACATGGCTAGTTAAAGTTCCAGTATCTTCTGATTGATTAGCCATTGCAGCCAAATTCAAATTACTGTCTGCATGCAGAATTCCTCTGGCACCAGAAGCGGCCAGACTCCCAAGGGTTCCAACTGCTCCAAACATAGCCATTTTGAGTGGAGGACCTCTGGTTATGGTTTGTTCACCATTCAAGGTAAATACAGGATTTGTGAAACCATTTGCTTCTGAAACTGGTGTTTGCAAACCAGTTGGTACTGGTGCGTAATCTACTTCACCAAATAGTTGATCGAAATCCAGACCGTCGCGTAATCGGAGAATTACTACTGAGAAGCGCTGATCAAATGCATTACTATGGAATAAGTAATTCAGAATTAGACTTACTATATTTATCATTTTCGGTATTTAAACTTACTGCAAAACGTTGAAATATGACGTCAACGCTGATTTTTCACAATCGTGCCAGTTTGCTTTGTAGCCCATCATCAAAACATTTGGGGCTAATTTACCAATACCAGCAGATTGGACTAAAGACTTAGCTCCATTTTCAAAGCATTGTCCATCTACAATTTTGTAGAAAGATTTTACTTTACGGTCCCAAAGCCATTTCAATCCAGCTTTGTGTGTCCTGGAGCGAACGCGATATGAAATTCGGTCCTGTAAAATTAATCGAACAAGTTGATTTACACATCTCGTGGAGGAAGTTCTAGCAAATTATCTTAGACGAATGATTTTTACACCTAGTTTATCTAGATTTTTTAAAATCATATAATGTGTTGACCTAATTTCGCATGATTTTTGTTATTATGTGTTTTATAAATTGTAAAGTCATCATGAACATACCGAATTTGTTGTTTCACAATATTGTGTAAATATTACTTTTAATCTAGATCAATCCAAATTTTGATTGTCGGGTTTATCAGATCGTAACTGATAATAATAATACATGCCATCTCGTTTACTTATCAACTAGATACTTATTATTTTCATTCAAACAGTCCCATACTTCTAAGTAAATCATGTTGAATATCATAATTTTCTTTAAATAAATAAGTGACGTTCATGCTCTTATTTCAGCCATATCTAATTTTATCCATTTCCGCGTAATTTGAATTCAACTAAATACGATTGACAATAAATTCCCATAATATCCTTGAACTCACCTCCTGTATATTGGCGCAGATCATGAGTGAGTTATTCTTGGTGATGGCGTACGCCAAATCAACCAGAGGAGGTCTTGCATGCGGGGGTCCCGATAGTAACAGGATTTGGGGTCTGTAGTTTTTCACATGCTCACTGATGTTGACTAGACGGTATGCTGATGATAGAGCAGTTTTGTAAATCTGTGCTTGGGTCGATGAACCCCAATTCACATCTAGAGAAGAATCAGTATTATGAATAAACTTGTTTACTTGAATTCCAAATATTTATATATATATATACATATATATACATATATATATATATATATATATATATATATACATATATATAGCCCCGAAGGGTTATTTTTACTTGAATCGAGAATATTTTTGATCTGTAATTTCAAATGAAATCTGATGTCATTACTACTGTCTAAGAAAGGAATAGTGTTCGGAATTTGTGGTTGGTAATTAGATTAAATATTATATATTGAACCTCTTATAATTAATATCAGTATCATTCATAGTCGTAAAATCGTCGGATATAGTCGTGCAATATACTACTGATTCCATCGATATTTCAATTCAATTTTGTGATCGATTTTTGAATTGACTTTTTGGCAAATTTCCAAATTAACTTATATTGCTACTCGACAATTTTAAATATGCAAGATGTGAAAATTAAGTACTTGTATATTGTAATACTGAAATGTTTTGAGAATCCAATTCATTAATTTATTATTTCAATTTTGTATACTAATAGATATTCAAATAAATACTAAATTCATTTTCGAATCGAGATTTTGGCAAATTTCCAAATTAACTCAGACTGCCAGTCGACAATTATAAATATGTAGAATGTGATGATGGGCATGTATATTATTTAAACACAATTGCTGATTAAATATTTGGAACTCAAGACTAGACTTTTGATACGAGTACTAAATCAAATCAAATTCCATTCAGATATCTTGAAAGGAAAATATTTACAGTACATGAATGATTAATTTCCGCTCAGTCTCTATCTTCGAGTTGTTTTTATTAAATTAATGTAAACTATTGAATATTTTATTCTATTGAATTGAACATCTAATAATATACTTGCCTGGTTTTCGGTAAACAACGATGAGATAGAGAGCAAATATGATGATAAATGTAATCAACGACGTTACCCAGTCTATCAAAAACATGATGATGACGCATAAAACAAATCCTGCTAAACTCAGCCATAAATTGTAATACTGAAAAATATATTTTTTATAAGCATAAAAATAAAATTGTCTATTATATATTTGGTGAGTTCGTAGCTTAAAAAAGTATTGGTTTAGGAGCTATATAAACAATAAAATAATATGAAATTAAATTTTATTATCTGCGGCAATAATACTAGAAACTCTCATTGAAATTTTATTACTTATAAAATACTCACTTTGAATGTTGGCCTCCATCCTAACGGTTTAATTAATGCAGCATGAAATGTGCAAAAATTAATGAGAGCGTATGAGGCCAAATAAAAGTTTGATATTAAAGGCGCAATGGCATTCAGTTCAGCTAAAATAGAAAAGATCAATATATGAATTCATTGACAGGAATATTGAATAGCTATATAAGTCGAAAACGCATTGAAAATTCAGTGCATCAGTTGTCATTATCATCATTACAAGTTATCATTATTACAAGCTGTATTGGAATTTGCCATTAGTTTAATTTTTGAAGTGTCTGATTTTTATCAATTTATTGCCAAGAATTACACATTATATGGAACAATGTTTTATCAGCATTAATTATTGATTAGTTATCTACAATAATCAAACAACAAGCGACTGCAAAAATAGTAACTTGAAAAGTCTAGAACACTTAACTTCATAATTAAACGGTATAATACTTATAATATATGGCATTAGTAAGAAGCTGCTTGATTTTTTTATAAAAAATTGATATTGTTGATGTTTGGATAGTTCTAGTGCGAAGTACATGTTATATTTATTTATAAATGGAATATTCCATTTGTGATAATACTGATCGCCTGACGAGAGATATGAAAATTAATGCGCAGAATGTTGTGAACATTCTAAGTATAAAGCAAATAATATATTTTTAATGTATTTCAAGTTAAACTTGGCAACGAACATATAAGTAGTTTTATCTAAAACTGACTAAAATCATAGGCAATAATATATGATAAAACAATGAACATCAAATACATATTAAACGTAATATAATGGTTAATAAACGAATAATGATGCCTAAAATTGCTGAAAATATTGAAAATATTGTTTTAAACCATAAAGGCACATAAAAATTTAAAGCTTTCTCCTTGAATTCATTAAAAAACAGTAAACAAAATTTAAATAACAAGTAGAAAAAATCAAACAAAAGTCCTGACACTATTTTGGTAGAAGTACCATGCTTCGTCGTTCAAAATTTGCATATAATAATTATTATTTCAATCATTCAAATAAATATAGATATAATAAAACAAGTTAAATGCTTTTGGAATCACTCAAATGGGGCGCTGCGTTCTCTCAAAAACTGAATTCCCATTTTTTGCACATTTTGCTCCTTATTTTGTAACGACTGGGTTTGCTTTTACCAAAAACTCATCAGCACGTCTTCGCATTCATCCATCAATAAGAATCGAATGTTTTTTGAATCATTCTAATCGGTTTAACCGTGCTCTCGATAACGTCAGCGAATAATTGTATTCGCGCATACATTCATACTACATTACTACAAACATATACACATACACATACATCCATTCTATGTTAAACCAAAATGTTCAGAAACCTCTGAAACGTAAAGATATACAAACTAATGGTGCATAGCATCGTGCGAAAATTATTTTTATTAAAAAGCCTTAAAATTTCTTGAAAAAATGAGATTTTTGAAAATTTTGAATTTTTTGAGAAAAAGAACATTTTTTTGTTTTTTGAATTTTTTTAAAAATTTCGAATTTTCAGAACTATCTGCAGCGTGGCTATTTTATAGAAGAAATATCGAAGCTGATAAACTGATAAACATCTATCTCATGCAATTTTTTATAACTCGTGTTAATAATAAAAAATAAATAACACAGGTGTCCTTAATAATAACTTAAAATGTATCTCATACATACCTATTAACAAAAAAATAACGGAAATGATAAACGTAAGCACGTAGCCTCGATATGGTTCACCAGCTTTTCCGTATCCTTTGCTGAAGAATATCAAACCAGGGTAGATTTTATCGATGCCCAGCGCCTGGATCAACCTCGGCACGGAGAGTAGATTTGTCAGAGCAGTCGATAAGGTTGCGGCAAAACAACCGGCGTAGATGAATGGACCCCAGGCAGACATTAGTTGCATTACCTAAGATTTAAAAATATAATAATTACAAGAAGCTCAATTAATAAATGTATATAGGTTAATGGACAATTAGATCTGGTCTCTATCGTGATATATAGGCAAAAATAAATGAAGTTAGCAAGCATTAATTTTTCTGCATCAGAATTGATTATATTGAACAAGTAAATTAGATTTTATTGGATTCACAAATTTAGCAAACCTAGGTCTTATTAAAATAGATGATGCATTATATTGTTCGACAAGCAAATAAATATTGTTACATTATATGATATATAGTTGTGAAATTATATCGTTCCATGCTTCCATGGCTGCCATAGATCATAGACGTATAGTATAGTATATCCACAATTTCATGAATAAAAATAAATTAATTTCCCTTAACTATTCTTCCTATCCACACTTACAGAATAGCTATTATGAAGTCCATAAGCGCAACCCTCTGTACCACAATTTGCTATCACAGTTCCATTGATCACATCTGATAAGTTACCAGATGCATCTCTTAAAGCTGCTCCTCCAGCAAAAAATACAAAAATCACATAACTTGCTAAAGTCAGAGCAAGAGACAACAAAGTTCCTTTTGGAATAGAACTAGCTGGATCCTGGTAAAGAAATCCGATTTAATATTTTTATTTTATATAAAACATACGACATTTCACAAAAATTTTGTTACCTTCAAGTCTCCAGAAATATTAGCTCCTGCTTGTATTCCGGTAACCGATGGGAAAAATATAGCAAATACTGAGAAAAATGATTGATCTATTTTTTCACTGAATCTGTAATCGGGATCCCAGTTTTGTCTGAATACACTTACTATAAAAATAAAAATAAGTAAAATCGAATTTAATTTTTGAGTAATTATATAAAAATTATGCACAATATGATATAATAATAACTCAAAAATAATTTCATGCTTGGTCTTGCAGTATTTAATTTGGGAAAGTAAAGTTAAAAAAAATCAAAACATTCTAATATCATTATTATATTACACTTACCCTGGAATCCCATAAATCCCTTCGACATGTCTTCTTCAGATGGTCCCATCAAGGTTCCTAAAAGAAAGTCAAAAATAGCGCCAGCAATTATGGCAACTAAGAAGTTTTGGGCTTTGCTTTCCCATTCCATCCCAACAGCACAGATGACAATCATTATGAGAAGGGCAACTATACCGACAATTCTTACATCGTTATTTCCTCCATCGACAATACTTAAGCCATTTTCTCGGAGCAAATCATTTAAGGAATTGCAGAAACCTATAGTGTTCATACTGGCTGCAACGGCATTTGCGAAGGCGAATACTATGCCTACAGCAGCGCCGAATTCCGGTCCCAGAGACCGGGAAATTATGTAGTAAATACCGCCTGGAAAGATAATTTTAATCTTGACCAAGAATATAATAGAATAATGTTGTAGTAATAATAGAAGCTATGACCAAAAATAATCATATTTTAAGTTCTTTATTTATAAATAATATGCAGTCAATATATAGTTTTGGGCATTCTTTCTATATCATTAATTATATTCTATCTAAATCCAAGTAATTTTCTAGATCCCAAATAATATTAAATAAATTTGTAGAATTAAATTATAATCATACTACTAATATAATTATAGTATATTCAATTTTTAGATAATTGCTAACAATATAATAATTTCAGTATTTCAGCAAAAATATAAAGTTTATAAGAGTAATGATAATTAGGTGATAATTTTCACAAATTTTATGATTCAAGTAATTTTTAACACAACTTACCTCCTTTTACTTCTCCATTTGTACAAATAGCAGATAATGATAATGTTGTTACAACACATACCTGCAAAATTTATATTATATTAAATAACAATTTCAAATTTTATATATATTAAATCTGTTTTCTATAAATTGCTGAGAGAGTCCATAATAATTATGTAAGAAATTATGCAAAAAAAGACACAGCATTGAAAAGATTGAAATATTTAATAAGTTCAGTATATGAGTAAACCATTTTTATTTGAATAATATATCTCCAATTTTCATATATTTTTCAAACTATGATTTAGTCAATAGATGATATAAAGTATTGCAAGCTAATGTGCATTTTTTTAAATTATGTACGTTTGATCAACCAGTGACGTAACTAGACCCTCGTGGCAAACTCTTCCGATGGGGCCCTATCGTGGTACTCAATTTTTAATTTATCTAATTCTGTTAAATAAACGTTAATAGTCATTTACACGCTGTTTTATTACAGGCTAAAACAATTTTTAATGAATTTTATCACAATTAGCAAACCAACTTCGACTAATTTATATTTTATGGCTCTAAATTACGAAATTATACAAAGGCTAGAAAAGTAAAGTATTGATTTAGAGATATAATTATAATTTAGTTGTAATTATATAAAAATAACAAAATACATAAAACTTAATTTTTCTTGAAAATCAAACATGAAATATTAGTGAATATTTTCAACGTTAGAATAAATGAAAATTAAAATAATCTGATCGGTGTGTTTAATCAATATTTCGATATCACAACCAATTTAAAAATAAATTGACTGCTTTTGTATTGCGCTGAAACTTTTACTATCCGTGAACGTGTTTAGCTGCTTCTGTAATCGAACTTACAAACTTTCTTTTGAACAACGACGTTGTTCAAAGACGTTGGCCGTCGTTTTTCGAATGCAGTCACGATAATAATAATAATATAGATAAAGTTTTTATATAAAAGGAACCTCTCAGAAAGCATCACACCCATGACCAAAATCCACGAGGGATTTTGGCGAACGGTCATCGATGATGATCAAACTTCAAATGAAGTTCGATCATCTTTCTCACGCTCAGGGTGCGATGCTACGACTCATCGTCGAGGTCGCATCAACTCCACGTTTGAGTGAAGAGATTGTGAAGACATACTACAGAAATGATCCTGTGAAGTATGATCTTGCCGAAACGACGTTTTAACCGAGACAAGCCAATTCCTTTCAGGTTTGTGCGGCGATCGAGGTTAACGTGACGCAGGTATACCAAGAGGAGACATCTACAGTTTCTGTGTCTACTCTTGGTGAATGCTCTTATAGAATGAGTGTTTTGCGTACATGCGCATTTAGACATTTGTTAGAAATGTGCATTTTGTTAGAAAAGTGCGTTAGATAAACATAAACGAGTTCCTATAATGAGTACATGATGGAACTTCACAATATATTATTTATTCTAATTCAGCATTTATCATTCTTTCTGGATTTTTATTTCAAACTTAAGAATTGATATTTACCTAGCTAATGCAAATGGTAGTCATATGAAACATGAAATTAATATGAAGTAAAATACGATTTTCAATTTTCCGAAAAAGTATGTGTGCGGTTTTCTGACCTTTCGTCGCAGATTTCTCAAAAACGAAGCCAATTGATGTAACTTGATAAGAAACTAGCGTTTGTCAGTTTTGTGCGACGATCGGCTAAGCAATTTCTTTGTAATTAGCAGAAAACTGTGTAAATTTTTTATGTACATTATTAGCTACATTATTAATTTTGAACCCATTTAATTTAAAAATTCAAAAACTGTTTTTGTAGTACTACAGATCAACTAATGGTAACATAAAATTAAGTTCGGCAGTATAGTGTAGTTAAATTTTGTATATTGTTTTGTATATAATTTTATGAATTCACTTAGTGCAATATTGAATTTATTCAAATTATAACTTACTATGAATGAAATTGCAATGATGAGAAGCGAATGACTTATTCCAGCTTGTGCCACTACCCACGACAGACGCAAAAATAACATTACGCCCCATATGTTTAGAAGGCATGGTATAAAAACACCTTGAATCCATCCTAATTTTATTCCGTGGTGTGCTGGGCCATCGGTGGCTTCTTTTTCTAAAGTGTTATCCTAAAATAAAAAATAAACAATTACAAATCTTTGAAAATCTCCCTGTTGACGAATTTTGAAATTTTAACGCCCGATGTGCGACCAAAGCTTTAACATTAAAATTAACATAATTTTAGAAATTGAATGATCACGTTTACGGTTGTTTACAATAATAATTTTGACACATCCAGTTTTGACTGTGACAAATTTTACATAAATAAATATCACACATTTTGCCTGAAATTCCATGCAATGCTGTTTTTATATTTGCATTAAGGGGAATAGATAAAAATTAGTAGGTAAAGAAGTTAAAAATTTGAAAAAGAGTTGCGTATTGCCGTTTCACGTGTTTTATTATTTTCAAAAATTTACTTAATTTTAATATACATAATTATAGATATAGAAGATACAATGGTATTTGAATAAATGTATTTAGGATGAAATTAAATTGCTATGCAGAACTATGAAATAATTTTGAGCATAGTTGTACTATGGAATAGTTAAAGTATTCGAATTTTTCTACTATAGTATCTTTTACATTTATATTATTATTTTTGACCTTGTCTTTCAAACATTTTTTTGACTAGGGCTCACATTCTGCACCAGTTAAAACTCTTCCAAGTTATCTTTGACAAAAAAGGGTGTTTCAATTTTGTCTTCTATAGATTCGTATTTTTTTAGCATTATTTTCGCACACTAAAAAAAACAATTAGCCAATATTTTAGTCATATGTTCTGGTTCGTTTTGTAATAATATACAAAGAACGTCTGCCGTATATAATTTAACGAGATGTTGACTTTTGTAATTAAACAACTCGTCGCTTGCAATAAAGATGTTTTACGTTCAATTAAACTTAATCGTTCTTGTTCTTCAAATCTTTAATGAACGCTAATAGCCAAAAATTAGCGTTCAATATTATATTAGTATTGTTGCTTATTTGCCTGTTCTCCGGCAAAATAAAATAATACAAATGTTTGCAATCAGGAAATGAGGTAAAAACATTCTAACTGTTACATTTAAATATAAATATTGTTTTGAGTTAATTATTTGGTAGCTGAATACTTCAAATTTTATGTCTGGAATTCAAAGATGATCTTGAATTTGTATGTATCTAACTCCTAAAACAAAAACGAACAATAAACGCTTTAAACAAATAATTTTTTAAATAGGTTGGACGCCAGCCAAAAAGTTAAATTATGCAGACAACTATATACATATACATAATAAATGTATAAAGTATGTATATATAATATAGGGTTTTTCTAATTATTAGTTAGTGGACATCTAGCAAATGTGGTAAAGAGTTTATAGTAGATAAATGACAATAAGTAGATGTTGGTTAATTTTAAAACCATTTCATTACTTCTTATCAAAGTGTTTACTTTAAATTATAATATACAAATAATTAAATAGATTAAACTAATTGAAAAATACACAAATTTATAATATATGTTAACAATGACATCTAAATCTATTGTCAATCTATATATTCAAAGTGGGTGTGCATGCCAAATGACGTACGTATGATGATGGTTTTACTAGTTTGAGCTACAAATAACTAGAATTATATGAACAATTTTCAGACATCTTTTGAAAATTTATAATTAGAGTAGAAAATAATTATTATCTTATAGAATACTGAAATCGTAACAATAATTAAAAACGCAAACTATATTTTTTATTTATAAATATACTAAGAACCGATTAATATCTGAATTGAAATAAGAATAACATATAAGTCATAACTAATTAATTTATCAATGAATCATTAATAATATTTTTAACAAAATCATTTAAATAATACGTTTAATAAATTTTACCGTGTATGATTTCTATAATTGTATGACAGTGAAGAATGCAAGTTTTACCAAACTATCTTTGGTCGATATTTTAATTATTATTTTATTAAGAAATTCGTTTGGAAAATATATTCTTTGTTTCTTAAATTAATTTCAACTTAGAAAAGTGTAGTGTGTAGTATAGAGTTGCTTTTGTAATCTATTTGAGAGCATGTTATATGACATTTTTCTAAATACAAAATCAAAGAATAATAAATGTTATATTAACATATACATCTTCAAAACAATGATTAACCAAACATAATAAAGTAATTTTTTATTTTTGTAAAAAGACACCCTGAGTAACTATTCTATTGTATGTTAAAATTATCATTCAACTAACAAAGTTGTTGTTGATTTAATATTTAATTAGTAATAAATAACATCGTAGAAAAAATATTTTCACATTTTCAAAATTGTTTACGATACCACAAAAATAATGATAAAGTGTTACATTACCCAATGTCATTGCTTGTGTGGTTTTGAATCAGTTAACACTTCGGTACTATAATTTATTGATCACGATGTTATGTCGCTCACCGATGTAATTGACGTAGCAAATGTTTAATTAAATAATAATTTGAGCACATAAGTATTCATATTTTGTCATAAAATGTGCGAAATAAAGCGGGAAAGATTTCTTCATTCGGTTTGGCCAACATTATTGACAAAAGTAGATAATTAATGTAATTAATTGATTGATTTGTGTATATTGATCAATCAGCTTTTATATCTTTTATGATTATTTTAATAATACATTCGTTTGATAATCCACTATATTGACACTGCTATACAAGACCGAAAGCAAAACTATTATGATGAACATTGTATTGAAAAATTACTAGTTATGGATATCTAGTCAAACCAACAAACATTTTGTAAAGTCACAAAATAAAATTAAAAAAATACTAGAGGCGTCCAATTATGATCACCTGGGCGCTGATCCAACATGACTTCAATATGTTCACAGTAATAGAAGAAGGCATGCATCTAAGAACAAAACTAGACTTGAATATCAATCAAACCAACATGCAAAAGACTTACATTTCTAAAACAACCCCCCCCCCCCCCCCAGGAGACTCAAAAGAATAAACCCTTTATATTTATCAAATTAACTTGTCATGTACACTTATTATTGCTTTTCTGTATCTTTATCTCATCTCATTTATTTTCAAACTTAAAATGACTTCTACTGGGTAGCAATTTAAAATCTTTTATCTACACATTTGTTACCAAAATTACTGAATGCCTTACCAGGCAGATTGTAATTATGTAAAAAAAACAACTATTATGGGTATATTGGTTCATCATTTAAAGATTATATTTTTTCTATTAGATAATAATAGATTTTCTGATTATTGTTTCATCAAGAACAAATTAAACCCCAAATCCAATTTTCTAGTTATTACCTTATTTCCTAATTCTGGGTCCCCATGAAGTTCTCCCAAACTCGGTCGTTTCAGACGTTTTGACAGTCTGTAATTATCGAGTCTAGGTAAAGCTTCCCGCGTCAACTGGGCCAAAGATTTTCGGCGATTGGCATTTCCTGCCATGTTCCCACCTGCACCACCAGGAACTCCATGTAAAGTGGTGAAGACATCTCCAGCTTCTTGACTTTCCGCCTCTGCCTCAGCATCTACCGAGCGATCCCGCACTGGTAGTGTTATAGTAACACTATTCTGTGGGTAATATATAATATGAAAATTTAATATTCATATAAAAAATAATTATTAATAAACAATAATAAATTTAAGACTATGAATACAAAGAAGGTAAAATGATTAATGCACACACTTTTATAATTTGATATAATTTAGTTAAACTTATCATTTTACAATATTTTTTATATGTCATAATATAAATATATTAACAAAATTGATTTAAGATATTCGAATGTTAAATTTAATTTTATCTATCTAGATTTAGTGGTATGAACTTTAAATACAAAAATAATGGTACATTAATTTGCTCGTCATATAAATTAAAGTACAAAATTTATTAAAATTTAAGAATTGAATCTATAAATAAAATCTTAATCAAATTTAGATTCAAAATAATTATTATCTCTTGTTTACGAACAGCAATCAGAACTTAGGAGTCCTGTGAGCTGTAATATTTCTTAACAGTTAGCTTTCTTAGAAGACAACCCAACAGTTGACCTATCTCTATTATTTTATATATATATATATATATATATATACATGTATATATATATTATTAAAATTTCTCTAACACTAAATATTTTAAATTTTATACAGAAATTTGGCGGAAGGGCCATTTCCACTTGGAAACATATTTCTATCTAGTCAATAACTAGATGATATTAATTAACAAAATAACAATTATAACATAATGCTATAAAATTATATTGTTATCTAAAATTTATAATATACAATTATAATTTCTATAATTCTAATACTTAAAAATGCATGCTTTCATTTAAATAAAGTAATATAGTAAAAAGTCATGTAAAAATACTGTTGGTATCAAAATCCGAAATTTTGAGTTATACCTTTAAAATATACTTTTAAATATACTTTTTGAATGTTAGAATATGAATATCATAATCTAAACTTGCATATTTTAAAATGTACATTTGAATTTAGTAAAAAAATCATGTAAACATATATTATTAGTATCAAAATTCGTAATTTTGAGCCTTAATTTTACATAAACTATATTAAATGTTGAAATCGTAATATCATACTCTAATCTTGCAGTTTTTCAAGTTTAGATATTACTATTTGTATTATTATACGAGTACATTCATCTAACTAATTTCTTACTTTTTGTGAGTTTGTATCCTCTCCATTAAGCTCCACTTTTGAGACACGAAAACGTTGCATAACGTTTTTTTAATTTAAAAACCTCATTCGAAATAAGAACAACAATATTGTTTAAAACCTCATCGGTAATACAACAAAAACTATCCTATTTTGATGGTTAAGAAACTAATTTTTTCAGATTTTATGTCCGTACGCACGAATGCATTACTTAAATACTTAAGTGACCACAATAACACTTTAAGAAATCAGCACAGTAATAACAGAATAAAAACTATTAAAATAGAGTAAATAGATATATACTTTTCACAATAGCAAACAAAGGTCGTTTAATAACAAATAATATATTAATAATATAAGAATAAAATATAAATTGATTATTTTTATAAAATCAAATTCAGTTGATCATTGTCTAGGAATCCGCGTGATAATTCGCGTAAGAATGATCAGTAAAGTGTGGTGTGCGGCTTTATTTATAACATTTATTGGAGGCACAGGTGATCGCTAATTATGTGCTACCATACAGAACAGTATACTGTATCTTGTTCTGGTCAAAATATAAAAATATTTAAAGATTGCTTTAAAGGAAATAATAATATTGTGATGAACTGGTAAACCGGTGAACTGAAGTAAATGTTTGTTTTGATCATGCTAATATTTAGATAAAAAAATTTAGTTCAAAAATCATGCCAATGAATCATGTCAAAAGTGATTTTGAATTTGTATTTTTAAATTATACATGCTGCTTTTTTACTTGTATCTGAAAATTTATTTAGGTGGTATACATAATTTTAAATGCATTCAAACAAATAATTATAAATACTCGAAAAAGCTTTAAAAAATAAATCATGAATATAACTAGTATAATACACAGTGTGCTGGATAAACCCATACGCCCGTGAGACCCGGGCCTTGGGCGCCACAATTTGGGGGCGACCATTTTTTCAGAATTTCAAAACTTTTAACTCAATATTTGTCAATATTGGTGAATATTGGTCAACATTGGTCAATATTGGCCATTATCGGTCAATATCAGTCAATATTGGTCAATATCGGTCAATATTGGTCAGCTGGATCTGTCTTTGCCAAATATTAATCAGAAGGCTTTCCTCGTTCCTCGTCAATAGGAATCGAACATATATATATACACATTCATCATATTTTTGAAGGAATGCCAATATGCTCAGATGAACTTGAAACGTGAGATATGCAGAAAATTATTTTGGTTTTTTTTTGCGATTACTATAACAGACCCTACAAAAAATTGAAAATTATATCTAAATAGTTTAAAATAAACTATTTAATTAAAAAAGTAAAATTTTGTCTATTAAAAAGGGCGCCTGATTAGATAGGGCCTAGGACGGCAGTAAGTTTAATCCGTCACTGATAATACAAAATGATATATAATACTTTGTCCGTTAATAAATTGCCACTCTGAATTGTCTTAAATAACTTAGTAAATCGTGTAGATAAAATATTAAAATTTTAACTAGAATTTACTAGATTGGATGATTCAAAAACATTCGATTCCTATTAATAGGGATATGTGCTGATTAGTTTTTGGCAAAGGTAGGCGGAGCCGTTTTGGAGATACGAAGCAAATAGTACAGAAAATAGAATTCGAGATTTTGAACGCAGCATCAGATTTGAATGATCTAAAAAACATTCGATTTGTGATGATTGGAAAAACTGGTGACTAATTTTTGGCAAAGGCAGATCCAGCCATTTCGAAGATACAGAGCTAAATGTACAAAAAATAGCAGTTTTTGAAAGAAATAAGCATCTGATTTGAATAATTCAAAAAACTTTCTACTTGTATTGACAAAACAATTGGTTTTGGCAAGAAATATTCCTTTTTTTGTATATCGAAAATAATGAAGATTTTAGTTTTAATTTTGGCTAAAGTTCTAAAGTTTACTTATATACTTTTAATAAATAATTTCAACTTTGTAATTCAGTTTATATAATTCTTATAAATATTAGACAATGTTACAGTATTTAATCTAATTTATTTAAAAATATTTAATATTCTTCGAACATTTTGATACGGTTTGGAAATTACAGCAATGTGCTTTAAGGCACGATGCCATACATCACTAGTTTTTAATTTGCTATGTATCAAATTTACTTATATCAAACAAAGTACAATGAATTATGACTATCAGGAAATAGGAATCCGTCTCAATAAATTTAAGCTAGAATTGAAAAAACTATTACGGAATGGATATGGCATTTAAATAAATATTTTTAATAGCAACATTTTCTCACGGTAAAATTTTTCTTAACTTCATACATTGTAAGTTAAGAATAAACAATAATAACAAAAGTCTCTTATCTCAATTCTTTAAATGAGTGTAGCTAAACCATGCAGTCCAAAACGTTTGCAAAATACCGGTCGCAGAATATATTTTCGCTATTAAGGATAATAGCAAAAAATCCCCAAATGCACATGATATCATGTACAAGTAATTCACAATGACCCCAATATTAAAACAGTCCAAGAAGACATCAAGATCAGATGTTTATCACGTTACAATAGATTACGTGACCGCTCAAATTCAGTTTCTCTGCTATTAAGAACAATAAACCAACTAATATTGAAGATGAATATATGGAATGTTTGCAGAATTTGTATAGCATAATAAAGTTGCCAAAAACCTCAGCAGATGTCATATGGTAGATCAAATATTAAATTTATTTCGAAATCGTTTGCGCTTGAAACGAAGACGCATCCATTCATAGTCTCTATAAAAATTTAAGTATACACATTTAAGCAAAATCTTAAAAAACTAGGTGTAAGTGGTATTTTGCCACGAGGAAGGTGCATAAGCTTCACAAAGTATTTATCTTTGATTAATAACTATTTACCTTTTATATTTCGGGCTACTATAGATTACTATTGAATTCGTATTGAATTATTAAATGCATCCTTGGTCTCGAAATTTATAAACGGCTATATTAGGCCCAATGTCATTGATTAGAATCGATTCGTGATTACTAATTAATTTGATACTGATTTATTTGCATGTCGCATATAATATCATGTTTTCATTATTAATAATTTTATGCCTTTAACTACCACTTTAATTATATCACAATGTAGTATGCAGTCGTTCTAAATTTTTTTAATTATATTTCTATAACAAGTATTAGGTAAAAAATATATATTGATAATGCATATTATGTCACCAACAGTTTACATAATTTTGTAGAATAGCACGTACATTATTTTTATAAATTATAAAATTAAACGTCGGTTCTGAATCTCAATTATTGTTAATTAAGTCCATTATTTACAGTACACATATTGGGAAGTATATGCATTTTGCCTTAAGGAAAGATGCCACTCACCACTAGTTATTTTTTATTAACTAGAATATATTGATAAGTAATCAGTGAATAGTATAATATTTAAGAAAATTTAAGAAACTGAAACGATGTATCGGAAATTACTCAACGATGTATCGGAAATAACTCAATTTTGCTGAATAGACCGAATTTAGAAATAATACCTTATTCAACAAGCCATATTGCCACTAATTTCAAAGTCTTTTTAAATAAGAAATACTAAGATTAACAATTAATTTTCCATAAGATAAGAAAAAAAATCTCATTTATGTATTTTGGTTGTTGAACTTCAAGATAAAAGTCTAAACTAAGTGCAAGCTCTGCTGAAATTTGTTCAAGTAATAAATAAAATATATATAAAATTAAATAAAATAAATAAAATAGAAAAATAAATAATAATATACATACCTATTTTACATTATTGTGCCACTCCATAATTAGAAGCTTAGTAAATCTGAAACAGAAAATAACAAATTATGTATCAGATTAAAATTACACATAGATTTGATAATTGTTCTCGAAATCAAATATAAATCAATAATGATAAATGTTATTAGAAAACTGAAATTAAAAAGTAATAGAATTGAATAGACAGCATCTGCAATCAATAACATATAAATCGGTATAACAAGAAATATATTTCTTAAATTAACAATATACAGAGTATTAAGTTAAAATATCAACAGATATAACAGTAAATACAGAGAGCTAAAAATGTAAAACTAACTTAGACTACAAAATACATAGAATCTCGGAAGATTTGGATATACATAAATTATACTAAATCATATATAATTAGAGTATATATTTCAATAATTAGTATAATATTTTATCTTTGGAAAGATAGATATTTATATAAATACACAATTAAAAAGTTATCTTCACAGAATAAAAGTTCACAGCTCAATTATATATAACAATATTAATTCACGAATTACGTATTAAATTACATCTAAAGTCTAAATATTGCGATAAATACAAGTAGAACTATTTTGACCAAATGAATACTTAAGACTATATTACGTGTATCAAATTTATAAAATTGATGATATAAATTCACGTCGGCAGTTACAAGTCAAAATATTAAAGAAAATGGCAATAATTTTGACAAAAATCTTTTTTTACTGAAAATGTAAACTTGACATAAATATAATTAACGTATGTAGAGCATATACTTATTATTTTTTCGGCTATGTGATGCTTAAATTGAATCCAATACTCCGCCAGTCAGTTTTGTTGCATAGAGATTTATTACCTGAAATAGAAAATAAAATAATAATTAATAGACACAATATTTCTTTTTGTAAACTCTGTAAGTCACAAATATAAAAATGCCTTCACGAGATGATCATCTTGAAAGATTGAAATATATTTTACAAAAAAAAAAGTATTGACAAAATATTGATAAAAATACTTATGGTACATAAAGTGTATGCAAAAAAATATCATGTTGATCAATCAATTAATTTAAATTTGCAATAAAAATATTTTCTGCTAAGGTCATTTTTTATATGAACGGGTCAGGTAACATAGAATTCACTTAAAGTTTAATTTCCCATAAATTAATTGATATGCACTACCTAGAAAATATTAACTAAAAAATTTAGTAAAAACGTAATTACAATATTTATTGCAAATGTATTCCGAATTATCTTTTCAACAAATTGAATCTACTATGAGATATCATCAAAAATAATAAATAATCAATTTTAGTTTAAATATATTAATATATAAACGATTAAATAAAATTTTAGACCTCGAATTACATTTTAATTAAGTAAGCAATCCTCACGTTTATTGTTTGTAAATTTAAGAAAATTAAACATCTCTTACTTTGTAAATAAATATGTATTATTAGTGAAGTTTTATACGTTGAATTAAATTTTAGTAAAAAAATAAACCTAGCGAAGTAATATAATTCTAATAGGCTTCATAATTCAAAGAAAAAAAAAACAAACCTCAGCTAGTAAATATCACGTAAAATTGAAATTTGAATTAATCCTTACATAGTAAAATTTTAGTAATAAAAACAACCCTAATCTAGTAAATTAACATATCATGTTTATAGACTTTTACTCGTTGAAATAAATATTAGTGAAAAAAAAGAACAACCCTTATCTAGTAAATATCACGTTTGCAAAATAAAAACTTGAATTATCCCTTACGTTTTAAATAAGTATGATATATTGTAATCTTTTAGATATTGAATCAAATTTAAAAACAAACAACCCTCGTCTAGTAAATAAATATATAATGTTTATAGACTTTTACTCGTTGAAATAAATATTAGAGAAAAAAAGAACAACCCTCATCTAGTAAATATCACGCAATTTTTGTAAAATAAAAATTGGAACTAACCCTTACTTAGTAAATAAGTATTATAAATTGTTATCTTTTAAGTGTTGAATCAACAAGAAAACAACGCTCATCTAGTAAATAAATATAGGATGTTGTATTAAATTTGAGAAAATAAACACATAATGTTCGAAAGTTGAATGAAATTTTAGTAAAAAAAAACATCCCTCACCTATTAAATTTACATGTAATATGCATGTAATGCTCGTAAACTTTTATACATTTAATTGAATTGACAAAGTATCCTCACTTATAAGTAAATAAGCATGTATTGTTCGAAATATTTTAATTTTGTTCGTAATATTTTGTAGATGTAATTAAACTTTAGCAAAATAAACAACCATCATAAAGAACGTCTCAACATGTAATGTCAGGGTAAATTTTAAATTTTCGTCGACTTTTATACGTTGAAAAGAATTTTAGTAAAATAATCATTATAAACTTTAAATGCTGAATTAAATTTTAGTAAAATAAGCAAGCTTTGTTCATAAACTGTCATAAGTTGAATTAAAGCTTAGCGAAATAATCAACCCTCACTTGGTAAAAAAACATGGCAAACATTTTAATTAACCCTTACCTGGTAAATAAACATATATTGTTCCTTAGTCTGCACAGAGCTAGCTCTATCTCTGCGAATTCTATAGACAGTCTTCGGCAAATCAATGGTTCTATTAACTTCGAACTCTTTTATCGCGAGATCGCAAGCGATTACCGCGCCGGTACGTCCCGTTCCCGGACTGCAATGCACGACCACGGGCGCCGTCGAATATTGGGACGGCGGCTCCGAGACACTACCGTTCGGCGATTTCTCATTTATCGTAGTAAGTCGACACATAGATGTCGTAGTTGTTTTAGCTTGAGCATTTTTCGAAGAGGATTCCCCACTTGGCGATTTTTTAGCATCGCCGTTACTGTTTGGGGGCTCTGTCGGTGCCCTGTGAGCTTTCCTGGTAAAAGAAATACGATACAAGATAAATACTAAAACACTAGTCCATTAATTATTTAAAAATCTTCTTGATACTATCCTAACTTTTCTTCAAACTAATGGTGTTTTGAAATACACCTCTTAAAATAAATATTGACAAAAAACGTGCGCACCTGTACACTTTCTGTGCTTGCTGTGGAGAATAAATGTTAACTTCAGATCCTTCCTTTTTCGGAGGCTGAGTTTTTGCTACAGATGTATTGTTGTTCTCAGTTTTTTCATGAGGAGATTTCATAAAACTTCTGTTTATGAAATATTAGAAAATAATACTATATTACTAATGAATTAATATATTGATCAATTAAGTTTATCACAATAAAATACAATAAATAAATTGAAAATATTGGAAGTAACAATCACAACTATAAAATAAACATAAATTATATTGCAAAATCAATTTTATTAATGTTAAGAACGATTTTCTAAAAATTAGATTCCAGCATGCTGTAATTGCTATAAAATCTAATTTGAACCCTGAAATTATTATTCATCATGCTCTACCGCCATTTCATTAAAATCTACACAATTACTTATTTTTTTAGGTTATTTTCAAAAACGTGTTGCTGAATTAAATATTTAATTTCAATATACTTCCATTTTTATTTTTATTAAAATAGTGAAGAAACAGCAAGTAACTTGCCTTAGATATCAATATATTCTAGCAAAACAAATTTAATTCCCGTAAACATATTAGAGCGATTTAAAAATCGTGCAACCTATAACTAAGTTCCAACTCACCTTGCTTCAATCAAGAAAGCAATCATGCTTTGGTACTCCTTCGGAACTCCTTTTTCAGGCCACATATACCATAAATGCGTTACTTCCCTCCACGTGCCACTTTCCATATTACACAATTGCACATTAGAAATTACGTATTTATCCTTAACTTCGCGTTTTTTCAACGTGACTTTAAAATCACCGAACAATCTATGACAATCCAAAACTTCTGACGGTGGGAGATAGTCTGTGCATTTTTCCTATCGGAGAAAAAATAATAATGAATTTTATGGCTATACGGTAAATAATTTGGCACATTTATAGCAATCATTTAAAAACTTACCACACCATTTTCGTAAAGATCAGTCAACATTAGTATTACTTTGGATTGCTGCTCCCAAATCATCCTCCAGAAGTCATTGACAGTAGATTGCATCGGAGCCTGACAAGCTATATAATAATTCCTGATTCCTCTTGGCCCCTGAAAATAGTAATATAAAAATTTTATTTACAAACTTTCATATAAAATCATAAATAAAATTATAGATATATCTAATTATCTAATTATAGATAATTACAAAATATTACAAGCAATATTTTTTCTGGTACTGCTTTATTAAAATTTACCCTGACAAAGTTCGCATTGATATAAGCCCCAGTTTCATCCCCTGGTTTTGCAGTTAGAGGAACTCTGGTTTCAGGCAGTGGCATAACATTGGCATAACGATTCTTGACTTCACATCCAGCTGGCACTTCATCTGCTCGCACGGTCACTGTAGGGATTTCTGTGAATTCAGCAAATACTGCAGCTTCGTCCGAAATAAAATTGCTTAGAGCAGGGAAGGACATGCTGTGTGAAGTCATCCCCTGCAAAAAAGGAATTATTTTTTGTACTGATAAAATAAAACCTTGGATAACTTACAAATCTTGGATTTAGATGGAATTTTGTCTGATGATGCAGTGATATTATTAATAATACAATTAGATAAAAAGGGGATGAACTATAAATAAAAATGGCGTCATAAGTTTGACACACAAATGCAAATGTTTCACTTATTAAATTGAAAAGATAATTAGCCGGTCTGAGGTTTTCTATTAAGATTGGATAATGATTTTACTTACGCTATCATTGAATGCTGGATTTCCATAAGATCTCTTCGAAGCTCTGGCCCTGTTTTTGCCCCGGACGCTGCTGTAGACCGAAACGCTATCAACGCTGTACGCGTCCAGGCTGACTGGTGTGCAACGCTGCCCGTATGTACGTTTATGCTGGCGTTTCCGCATAACATACTAAAAAAAATCAAATAACTTTATTTTGCTAACGGTGTAATAGTCAGTTCAAGATCTATACATGAATGCGGCAAAGATTTTACCGCTTCAGCCCAATCAAATGAGGAATAGGGCAAATAAACAAATATACTAGTGGTGTATTGCATCGTGCCTTAAGACCAACTGTTGAAACTTTCAAAAAATAAACAGATTTTTGAGAATTATGAAATTTTTGAAAATATTGACTTTTTTGAAGAAATTGAATTTATCTTTATTTTTTGAAATATTTTGAAACTTTTCTTCAAAGTGCGTTTTCGTGAGATGTGCGCAGAGACAAAATATCGAAGCGTGTAAGCTCCGCGTCACATTCTAACTGATAAACATTGCCACAGAACCCATAGAAATGTACAAAATCTGCTGTTATTATTAAAATCTCTATAAAATATTTGATTATTTGATGTGTAGATGTCTAATAACATTTTTGACAACCAAATGGCATTTTTGTTTACTTTTTTATTGTTTCTCCGAAACCGCTGGACCCGCATTCCCAAAAATTTTCGTTCTTCGTCAATACAAATAAAATGTTTTTTGGATCATTTAAATCAAACGCTCCGTTATCTCAAAAACTGAATCACCATTTAGGGCACTTTTTGCCCTGTATCTTCAAAACGACTGGACATATCTTTGTCAAAAGCTAATCAGCACGTCTGCCCGTCAATATGAATTAAATGCTTTTTGAATTATTCAAATCGGTTGATCCATGTTCACGAAATCGTCGACGAAAGTTTGTGTCTGAACACACACACACACACACATATATATATATATATATATATATATATATATATATCTGAACACACATCAATTTTTGTAAGGTATGCCAAAATGTTCAGAAACCCCTGAAACGTAATGATTAGAAAAAATTTCATTTTCGATCTTTTGCGATTAAAATTTGTATTATTAATATTTTAAATTAATTTACGTAATTTATTTATATTGTTAAACAACAGATGATCAAAAATTAAATAAAAAATTAATTATTATTAGTTGTACTTGTTCAAATGAAAACCAAACTCAAAGTAGACATCATGGTATATATGTATATATACAAAAGACTAAAGAAAAAACTACCACTTGGTCGGATTTAAAAAAGCTCAATAAAATCAATAAAGATGAAACCTTTCCAAGGTCAAGAAAATTAGCTCATAGTATTGAAGGATTTCAAAATAATCTTAATCTATTCATGGAATTATAATGAAAAGTGTATATACGAGAATAAATATATGTATATGTACTTACCAAGAGAGCAACTAAAACAATCAATGCAATAACTCCAATAATGCTGATGGTGACCGCAGCCACTGCTCCGCCTTCTTCAGGAGGTTCCTGACTGCCCAAACTTCCATCAGGATCTTTACTCGTAGTACTAAATATTGTTGTGGTAATTATTTCTGGAGGTACAAATGGTTCCTTTGTGGACACGGTAGTATCTTCCTGTAGCACCCGATCTGTTATAAAGTCGGGGATATCTTTGTCTGCATTCATATCTGGTGGTGGTGCAGTTTGGCCTGGATCTGGGACAAATGAAATATGAGTATCATACTGATTGACGAAATACATTCGTTCTTAAAAACGATTTTCTATGAACCAGAGTTAGTAAAAACTGTAATAATAATTCTTCAATATTTGCTTGAACTATTATTACCTTCAAATTTCCAAATTGATATTTAAAATCAATTGTTTCACTTCACTTGTTTTATCACGTTGAACAGATCCAATTGAAAAATTATTAATTTTATTGCAAATCACATCTAGACACTATGAAATCTTAAACATTAATGACAAAATCCTAAAAGACTCACGTTTGCTGAGCGCTATATATCATCATTGTTTAGAAAAAGCTTATTGTGCGTTTATTGTAATTATTCACATTGAACGAGATATCATATGTAAATAATAACATACTCTCACAACGTTAAATATAAAGATGATTTATAATCAAAATTTAAAAATAAAAATGTATGACTAAATAAATATTATTATCTTTTTTCTTTGTGAATAAATAAATAAATTAACAGTAAATTTACTTAATAGAGCTTCAATATTGTGCTATCAAATCATTTGCATGGGCGTAATTGCTTGATAACGTTTATAGAACATTTGTAATGCAATTATAATTTCTCAACTGTTTGCATAATAAATATAAGATTTATGCAGGTCAAAAGACGATCACGCATAACAGGATAAAAATTATATACCCTTATATATAAGATATTAATTTATGGTCATATGTAATTATAGCTTTACTCTTCATCAAAAGCGATCCGATTTCAAAATTATATGTATTAGATATGGGTTCTATCTAGGTTTGTATGTTAAGGACATATATAAAAATATGTACGAGGGTGTACATTATGACAGGTGTGTAAATAGGATGCTAACACCTGTTTTATAAATACTACTAAACCAAACAGAACACGATATTATTTACTATTCATAAAAATGTACCATAAATCTGAACCACAACAATAAACTGAATGTATGCCAAATATTTTAGTTCAGAAATATTATTAAAATATGCAAGATATTTTGAAAATCTTTAGGTAAAATATTTCATTAGGTACTTAATATAAATCAGCTTGGTAAGAACCTGTATAATATTATAATATTATTTTCAATTATTGATTACAGTTTGCTTATGAATAAATAAATTAGTAGTATGACGCAAGTAAATTTAAATAATTCTTAACTTCTAATCATAATAATTAAAATCAATATTATTTATTTTATGAAGTTTTGATTTGGTAATAAAAAAAACTGAACAAATTAAACAAAACAAAATTATATCAAAGAATGCTATAAGTTTGATTTATTTGTGGGCAAACACATCTGTAAAGCACTATTGTTTCCAAATCAATTATTATTCCATATTTCAATTATTATATTTAATTTTTATTGGTATTTTGAATATTATATAAATATAAAAATTATTATTTATCCACTTCAAAAAGTTTTCGTTTCTATAAAATAAAATGTTTAAATGTTAATAAATTAACTGGTAATAATTTTTTTCTCGAAGAATCCAATGAAGTAAACTAAATTTATTTTAGTATTAAAATGTGTTGCACTTACTTGTTTCTCTTGGGCTTGTTGTATGAATTTCTTTCTCATGCTCCGTTGGCAAAATCGGAATATCGCTACTTTTGTTTTTAAAAATCTCTTCATCGTGACCAGCAATATTATTATTGTTGTTACCATTAATATTTATATCGATTCCTTCTGTGATATCTGAATATTCATCAATAAAATCATCGGAGCTTAACGTGTCTGGAGTTGGAGTCACCTTCGGTTTAAATGTGGTCAGACGTGGCAAAGGAGGAAAATCGCTTTCTTCATTCATTTTTTCTGTCACGTTCATGATTTTCACAATCATATTACCGTAAGTTGTTTCTTCGATTCCTGAACTGCTTGATAATGTTGTTTCCGGGAAATTCAGAAGCGTAGAAGAAGATTTATTTGATGCCGGTACATCCGTTGCTATTTCATTTGTGTCAGTAATAAAGTCTAGAGGTGTTTCTGTAATTGTAGTTTCAGTTTCAGTAACTATTACATCCTGTGTGTTAATGGTGGTAAACGAAGATTCTTCTGTTTCAGTAGTTTGTTCTGGTAACATGGATGTACTGGCTTCTTCTACCGTCGTTGTTTCGTATTTGGGTACTTCTGTTGGTAAGCTAGGAGAATCATTGAACATAATTTCAGACGATGTTGGTGAATTCGATATCATAGTTGTCAGATTTTCTTCAGTTATTTCTGTAGGCACATCTGTAGTTGTTGGAATAATTTCGTTTGTGAAAGCCGACATATCATATTCACTTGCAGTTGACGAATCTACTTCTAGAACAGTTGAAGGACGTTTATCTTCAGCGTTTATTTGATCAGGAGACATAATAACTATGTTTGGTGAGGTACTAGTTTTAGTCATTTCTAAAATATTTGATGTTGTTTGCTGAATGGGCTGAGTTGTATGATTAAGTTGCTCCATCGTCATTTGTACTTTTTGCTCTCCTATTGTCATTTGCTTTTTATGATTCTTAGATACGACTTTTTGATGTCCTATTGTCGTCGTATATACTTGCTGCTTTTCAGTTATAGATGCTTCCGTTACTTCTGATAATTTTGGCGGCATAGTCGTCATGTTAAATGTTATTATAACTGGTGGAAATGTTGCATTCACTATAACAGCATTTTTAAGTGTAATATTTATTTTTTCAATATTAGATGAGGGAGAATTTATTTCAAAATCATCTACTCTATTGAATTGCAAATTATCACCATCGTCTTTAGTATCTTGTTTAGATTTTTTATGATCATCATTTTTCTCTATAAACTCCTCCGGTTTCATTGTGGTTAAATCATTGCTGGGTATGTTGTTTTCTACAACCAGAGCTGATGATTTTGTCGGTGCTGGTACCTGTACAGGTATAAGTTTATTTTCTTCTCCTTGGCTTTCAGTAACTCGACCAATAATATTTTTAATTGTGCTAGAATTTGGCGTATTTTCAGAAGAATTTCGTTCGTTTTTCATTATTTCACTCCAATCAACCAATTCTTTGACATTGATTGGTGTTTCTGTAATAGCCGAAATATTTTGTTTTTGTGTTGGCACATGTTTCATTCCTATCAAGGACCATGCATCTGCATTATCGGGTAAATTCATATTGTACTTTTCCATGTTCTCTTGTGAAAAAGAATTTAATTGTCGAAATGCTTTTGTAGTACCATGCACTGTTTCCTGTGCTTGTTGAATTTCGTTGGATGATTTAGAGTCTTGTACTGAACTTGGAGTGCTGACTAAATATGATTTTTGGCCACGATTTGAAACTTTGCCTAATATGTTTTCATTAGTTTCAGAATCATTTTGTGGATTTGATTTGTTTGCTTTTACTGATATTCTTAATCGTGGATGAGTAGTATTTGATATTGCATCCACGACGGGGATGGTTACAATATTTGCAGGTGTATGCATAATGATTCTCGGCGTAGATGTTGATAAATCGGGAAAAACTTCGCGAACTTTAACATCTAAATTATTTACGAACCCTGAGGCGTGATGGTGTATTACTTTACTGGTTACAGCTGAAGACGCTTCTGTTACAACTTCATGTTTATGATTTTCATTAGAACTCATTTCTGTTGATTCGTCCTGTTTCTCTAATTCTTTTATATTCGTTTCAAAATTTGATGTTTCATATTCAACTTTTGTACCATTAGTGGATATAAATTCTTTGTGCTTATGACCATCATCTCCCACAATGTCTTTGCTATATATTTCTTTAACACTCAATTTGTCAACTCTAGTATTATTATCAGTCTTTGCCTTTTCGGCTAGTGCATCTAAATCTATATTGGCTTCACTATTTTCACCGCCATTTGCAGCTAAATTACTTTTAATGTCATCTTTTAGTGCAGCATGATGCTCATCAAAAATAATAGTTTTTGGAGTAGTTAGTTCATCTTCAAACCTATGTAGATCGACTGGTCGAATTCCTTTAACAGCTTCAACAGGATCATGTACTTGCAAAGACATGAAAGTAGATTCTTCATCTGAAGGTAAGCGGTACTTTTGATTATGGAAATCTTCAGAGATATATTTACTAATATCAAAGCTAGGTATTTCGGTTGAAGTTGGTTTAGCGGAAATAGTTGATAATTCAGGTGAGGATGTAGTGGTAAGCTCTTCATTCGCAGGCACTGCTTTAACAGTTTCAGATAGATTTTTTGCTTCTAAATGAACCAATGTTTCTTTTCCCACATAAGTTTCTGTTTGAGATTGTGTATCATCTTTTTCTTGAGGTTCTAAGCTTGCAGAAACGGCAGTTCTAAATCTTAATGTTTTTATCGTAGTAGACTCTGTAACTGTTTCTGTAGAAGCTTCAACATTAGCAGACACATTATTCTTACTCTCAGCCTTTGCTTCTATAGTCGGGGTTGTTTCATCAGACTGCGGCTTCACATCCTTAATAGATTCAGTACTCACATCAGCTATTGTAGTTTCAGAAACATTTCTATACTGCCTTGATTTTATTATTCTATGATGTCGGATTTTTTTATTATCCTCCTCTTTGGCATTTGCTGATATTTCACTAGTCTTTGGCGTAAATTGCGAGGAGTGGTACTTGATTTTGCCACGGTTGCGTGTGATAGGTTTTGAAAGTTTGCTATCACTGGAACTAGTATCAGTGTTATTGGATTCTTTTGTTGAAAGATCGATTTCTAGAGGTTTCGTTTCTAATGGAGCGGCGGTGTCAGTCTCTCTGCGATGACGCAACACTAGTTCAGGATTCGCTCGGTATCCCTCGGTCGGGTGAATGGTTAGAAGTATCGACAGAAATGCGCCTGCCAATATATCTGTAAGAAAAAATATTTAATTAATTAGAATGTTTAAATTTTGAACGATTTATCAAAAATAACAGTTTTAAAAGTCTAGATTTTGATATGATAATAGAAATATGTTTAACCATCTTTTAATCAGTTATTGAACTCCATAAAGTACAAAAACGATCATTTAACTGGATCAATGTTGGCAATGCGTGTCCACACGCCTAACTGCGATTCAGTCCGCATTTACTGTTACTCAGATATTGCAGCAATCATAATTTTCAATTTACTCGGCACAAATACGCGAATTAGTAACTATATCAGATTCACCTCTGCTTTAAGTCAGTCTGACACATAACAGTAATGTTCTGTGCAAAACGTGACAAAATCTAGACGACTGAACTAAAAACATCACGAAGCGAACGTAATAATAATAATAATAATAATAAAGTCGTTACACTAATTGCTGGAATCAGTACATGACTTATGAGGACGCGTTTGGAAATTGAAAAAAAAACTAATTGGGATAAAGAGCTACTTCTGCTACAGTTGAAACAAGTGAACGGCATGAACTCTACATAATATTTTAGTCGAAATCTGAAGAATTGCATTGATAGAGAAAGAGAAACCATCAACTATGATATTAAAAGTTACTGCAGAATAAAACGAAATAGATCTTACGATTTCCATTATTTTGTGTCAAATTGTTATCAAAACCGTGTTAATAACGTCATAAAATTAATGAACAAATAATAAAATTAGCACAAGATAAAACAGTGAAACAAACATAAGCTCCATGTTTTCTTAACAGTTTACAATAATAAACTTTCTTCTATTATAATAATAATTAATTATTTAAAAAGCTATTTTATGCTGATAAGACTAATGGCAAACAACAGTATCGGAATAAGGAACAAAAAATAATGTATGTGTCACTTAAGAAACTCGAAACAGCCGACTTATTGTTATTTAAGTACTATGATTTATTATTAATATATTTATGATAGTCGACACAAATTACTTGGTCTATTCATAAACATGCTTTCTCTTATTGTAAAGATGCCAGTAATAAAAGATGTGTTTCAGGTACATAAAAGATTGAGACTCATTAAAATTTATTATAATTACTCTTACACCATCTCATCAATTAATTTGTAAGCTAAGTACTACTTATCGTAAAAGTACCTTTGAGATATTTTACGATATTATACAGCAAATTTTATTTGTAAAGTAAGGTAATTTAATTAGGAATTTTCAGCTTTTAACCAAAAAAATATTATCTTGTTGCTATGATGGTGGAAAAGGTTCTGTGTATATATAAACTGTTAAGGAAAAAAATCATATATTATTTAATACACAAAGAGAAAGCAAATGCAAATTTTAACTTATGAAGAAAGTTACACCATATCGATTACATTAAAATTAAAAATTTAATTCGAAATGTTATAGGAACAACTTTGGCGAAAATGTGGTGAGCAAATTTGAAAATACACTTACACACTATAGAAAAAGATAGATTTTCATTATAGAAAATGTATCAACGGCTCTCAAATTTTGAAATCAAATTGAAATGAAGTTTGAAAGTGATTTTTCTTCTCACACATGCGATCCATTTCCCGGATTTTCTGGCAAAAACACAAACTTCTCCGAGAAGTTTAGTAATAAGGCACACCCAAATGCATAAAATTTGTTACTATACCGAATGAGAATACTATCAGACTAATTCCCTAAGTGTCATCTACCTAAAAAATTAATTGTAGCAACAAATTGTCTGTTATTTAGCACTCCACTTATCACAGCCTCGTTTTTTCATTAGGTAGAAACCCGACCGGAACTTGAAAGCTATTTTGTAGGAAGTAGAACACGCCTTGTACTGTCATGGATAGGTATAATATACTTAAATACAATATTGTACACATACACATTATTGGTAAATAGAGACCACGAAAGTGATTATCCACAGCATTTACAGAACCAGAAAACCAGAGCGTTTGAAAGTAGCATCTTAAATGGCAGTAAGATAAAACTCTAAAGAATTCATTCCGCAGAATTTAGGATAAAAATGTGCGTTCCATGTTATGAAAACTAATTTCATAAATTGGTATTCAAATGACTTAAACAATGTAACAACCACAGGCAAGAAAATTCACGAAATCGTTTTG